AGAAATGCGGAATCTCAGGCTCCATCTCAAAATTACCGAATCAGAGTCTGCATTTTAACATTTTAAAGAAGTACTGTTTTTTTAAAAAAATATATTTTATCGATTTTTTACAGAGAGGAGGAGAGAGGGATAGAGAGCTAGAAACGTCGATGAGAGAGAAACATCGACCAACTGCCTCTTGCACACCCCTTACTGGGGATGTGCCTGCAACCAATGTACATGCCCCTGACCGGAATCGAACCCGGGACCTTTCAGTCCGCAGACCGACGCCCTACCACTGAGCCAAATCAGTTTCAGCAGAAATACTGTTTCATCTAGTACATCGTTCAAAGACAGGAGGAAAGATCTGAGTGAGCTGGCTGCGTGAGGAGAAGTGAGTGAGCCCAGGCTTGAAGGCCAGGTAGTTACAGATAACAGTGGTTTGGGCAGAGACGAGTTGAGAATGGTCCAGGTGGTAGAGATTTCGCATGGGGAGTGAGGTGTGGGTAAAGATAAGCTGAATAGATAAATTGGAACCAGTAGTAGGAGATCTGACTCCTGGGCTAATGAATTGTCACTCGATACCCCAGCAGTAGTCACTGAGTTTTAACCTGAAAAGTAACTCGTGGACAGAGCAGCATTTTAGGAACGTTCACCTAGTGATGGTGTCCAGGAAAACGAAGTGTGAGAGTATAAACAAGGAAATAAAGGAAGTAATTTTAGTAAAATAGACATCAAACAAGGAAAACCTGATCTAAGGAAATGGCCATAAGAATAGAAAAAACTGGAAGAATAGGAGAGGCATTTCAAAGGAGAGAAAAATAGTATCACATTACTTACTATACTGGAGTAATAGGTAATTCAAGTAGTGGTGCTATTGACAGATATGGGATATTAAGAGTGATCTGGTGGGAAATGAGTATTTAATTGCACACAAAACCTTCCTAATTAGCTCCTGTCTTTTATCTTCACTGACAAGGTCAACCTTTTCCTTAACTGAGCCTGTCTGCCTTTTTGCTTCTATAATAACATACCCTTGAAATGTCTGGGTAACGTGTAACTTCCCTTTTTCTGGATGCCTCAGGGCACAACCTCGTGTGCCTGGGCACCAGGACAGATACCACAAATTCCGTCGTTATCATGTTAATTGTTCCTGCACCCAAATACTGAGGTAACCCGCCATTCTCCGGAGCATTATCTTAATTCATTGAGGTTCTGCTTCCCGGCGTATGTCAAAAGTTTGGCTCAAACTCACAAAAATTTAAAAAGTCATTTATTAAGCCAAGACCGGTTTGGTTCAATGGATAGAGCGTCGGCTTGGGGACTGAAGGACCCGGGTTCGATTCCGGTGAAGGGCATATCCCCAGTAGGGGGTGTGCAAGAGGCAGCTAATCGATGACTCTCTCTCATCGATGTTTCTAACTCTCTCTCTCTCTCTCCCTTCCTCTCTCTACAAAATCAATAAAATATATTTTTTTAAAAAAAGTCATTTATTAAGCTTCAACTCTGCATCAGGTCATTCATGTTGTAGCATGTATTAGTATTTTATTCCTTTTTATGGCTGAATAATATCCCATTGTATAGATATAACACATTTTGTTCCTTCCCTCATTATTGATGGGATTTTTGACTGGTTTTCATTTTTTGGCTATTATGAATAATACTGCTATGGGCATTCATGTATAAATTCATGAATGTAAGTTTTTATATGAATGTATTCAGTTCTCTTGAGTATACTAAGAAGTGGAATTGCTAGGTCATATGGTAGCTCTATGCTTAACTTTTTCTTTTTTTAAATATATTTTTATTGATTTCACAGAGGCAGGGAGAGGGAGAGAGAGAAATATCAATGAGAGAGAATCATTGATCAGCTGCCTTGAGCATGACCCCTACGGGGGATCGAGTCTGCAACCCAGACATGTGCCCTGACCGGTACTCGAACCTGGGATTCTTCAGTCTGCAGGCCGATGCTCTATCCACTGAGCCAAACTGGCCAGGGCTGTGGGGTTTCTTATATATTACTTTTATTTTTTAATAAGTTTGAAGTTTTCTAAAATCAGAAGTTTATAAAAGTGAAGGCAGGGTTTAATCCAGGTATTTATGACTATATATTAACTCTTAGCCATTTTAACACTGTTTCCTAGAATGTGGTTATACCACTACATAAAAGGATTACTGTGGCATGTGGGAAGTATTTTAATATTTATATGTTCCTCTCAATGTTACCTTCTCTCTCTCTCTCTCTCTCTCTCTCTCTCTCTCTCTCTCTTAAACGTCAACAACCTTTTATTACCAAACTCTAGCCCCGTGGTCGGCAAACAGTGGCTCACGAGCCACATGTGGCTCTTTGGCCCCTTGAGTGTGGCTCTTCCACAAAATACCACGGCCCGGGCGAGTCTGTTTTGAAGCAGTGGCGTTAGAAGAAGTTTAAGCTTAAAAAATGTGGCTCTCCAAAGAAATTTCAATCGTCGTGCTGTTGATGTTTGACTCTGTTGACTGATGAGTTTGCCGACCACTGGGCTAGCAGGTTTAACTTGGAGCCCGGCTAGCAGCATCTCGAACAGAACCTAGGATGGAGGTTCAGCCCTAAGAAAGATGGTCTCTTAAACAAAGGATTAAAGAAATACAAAACATCCACCTAGAAGTTGAATTGTGACCTCCTGGTTCATAGGTCGACCCTCAACCACTGAGCCACGTCGGCTGAGCATATAAATAGTTTTAAAAGCGTGAAGTTCTCCAGTGTTGCAGAAAATGGCATCTCAAAGTGATTTCGCCCAGTAATCATTGGGCATTATGCTGCCTTTTCTCCCGGTTCAAGATACACATGGGAGAAAACCATTTCCCTTCTTAAAAACAAAACAAAACAAAAAAGCAAAACCCTTTCTCCCCCTGTGCAGCTTCCACTGCTTTTTCCTAGAGACACGGGAGAACTGTAAACAGGGCCGGCCACTGCTCCGGCCTCCGGGCTGCAGGCTCCCAGCAGGATTGTTCCTTAGGGATTTTCTCCCCTGCTACTCCGGAAACTGGCCAAGAAAAACAATATCCCATTTCCTTCCAGGGGGCCTGAGGGCTCTGTAAAGGATCAAGGGGCCTTTCTACATAAAACACCCGGCACCTCATAGCCTAACGTTTAACTACAGGTAAAAGCCAGGTAACAGCGAGCAGCTGCTGACTTAGATCAGACACGGCGCTCACCTCCCGTCTCTAACCGCAGAGGAAACGGGAGGAGCGGCTAGAGAATTTGACCTCCTCTCCTTTCCCAGCACATAGATGTGCCTTCTAAGCCAAGGCCAAGTCCCTGAGACAGACCCAGGTCACAGGTACAGTCTGCTGGATACGCATGGCCCCTTTACTGAAACTGGCTCCCTGGCCTGCATGGGCTTCAGGATCACAGGGGCAATTATTTTCTTAATTCACCGTCACAGACAAGTACTTCAACAGCAGCTTCTAGAAACTGCCCAGAGGACCCCCCACCCCCCTTTCAGCGTCACAGATCCCTCCAGCTGAGGGCTCCTTGCCTGTCTTTTGCAGCAGCTCGTTGGTTTTAGAGAAATGTCTGCACCCAAAGAGCCCTCTGTACACCGACCAGGGGCAGGGATGGGCAGGGATGAGCAGGGAAGGGCAGGGAAGGGCAGGGATGGGCAGGGAAGGGCAGGGGTGAGCAGGGAAGGGCAGGGATGGGCAGGGAAGGGCAGGGATGGGCAGGGATGAGCAGGGAAGGGCAGGGATGAGCAGGAAAGGGCAGGGATGGGCAGGGAAGGGCAGGGATGGGCAGGGATGGGCAGGGAAGGGCAGGGAAGGGCAGGGATGAGCAGGGAAGGGCAGGGATGAGCAGGGAAGGGCAGGGATGGGCAGGGAAGGGCAGGGATAGTCAGGGAAGGGCAGGGATGAGCAGGGAAGGGCAGGGAAGGGCAGGGATGAACAGGGAAGGGCAGGGAAGGGCAGGGAAGGGCAGGGATGAGCAGGGAAGGGCAGGGATGAGCAGGGAAGGGCAGGGATGGGGGGGGTCTGCAGGATGTGGTGGTGCTTCCTATGGCTGGCACTGCCCTTCTCCTGCGCACAGGAGCCCAGAGCGAGAAGGCGGCCGCTGAGTGCGGAGTGAGCAGGACACAGCCTCCTCCTCAGGAGAACGGGCCTGCCTGCGGGGAGGACGGCGGTGGGCAGGAGGACTTGCTTGGCCACCCGGATGCATCCCCTGGCAGGAGGCACAGAGCCTCCATGCAGCCAGCGCTTCATTAGTGTTTCCAAACGGGCCGGAGGGAGCAGCCCGGAGCTCGGTTGGGTCTGTGCGGGTCCGGTCCCAGGATGACACCCTTCATGGACCTGGGGCTGCACCTGGGTCCCCGTGAGGACCGCATGGCGGGGGGGTGGGGGGGTGGGGTGGGGGAACTAATGTCTTCTTTCTTCTGCCGCAAATCCCGTTAGCTTTATGAAGCACGGGTTCCCCCTGCCCGCCGCCGGGGCGCTGCCCATCTCCCCGAACCCCGAACCCCCGCACCGAGCGGGGCCGAGCGGGGCCGGCGGTTCCCATCGGACCCCCTGCCGGGCTGGGCGCGGCGGGGGGAGCAGAGCGGCTGTGGCCCCGCATCCCCAGCCCCCACCGCCACGGCCGCCTGCAGCGCCCTCCGAGGGGCTGGGGGGGGGCTGTTACCTCCTCTTTGTGGCAAAAAACACAACTATTTCCACGTTTTCCATGAGTGGAAGTAATATAGCAGCTTTAAAAGTAGATTTAAGTGAAAAGTTAATGGAGTTCATGAATAATACGGTGGCACTGGCGGTACCCAGGTACGGCACACCGTGTGGCCTGCCGAGGAGGATGTCTGAGTGCCTGCTGACCCCTTGGTCCCAGCGGTGAAATGCAGAAACGTTTCACCAGCTCTGCTTTTACAAACCCCATGTCCATCCGCTTTGGAATGACTCTTGCAAGAAGGTGTATTTTTTTTATAAGATCCTATGACACATATCTTCAAAGGCCGTAACGTTTATAAGAAGTGACAGAGGACATTTTTTATTGTTACAGAATGTCCTATCCAGGCTATCCCCCCACGGGCTACCCGCCTTTCCCTGGATATCCCGTAAGTATTGCCACTTTTACTGAAATAGCTGTGTCCTGACCGATGGGCTGTGGCAGCGTGCCAGAGCGGAGGTGGGGCTGTGGGGAAGGAGAGCATCGGTCACCGTGGGAAGCCAGCAGCTACTCAGTCCGATGTGGCCCTGCAGGGAGGCGGCCAGTGAGCCAGCACTCCGTTCCTGCAGGTGAAACAAGCAATCCGGACTTTGTTGAAATTGTCCCGATTTGAAAAATTGGGGAAATAACTTCGTTATTTCTTCCCATTTGGCTCCACCATCACCCCCTCCCTACAATGCTGTGGCCTCTCTCCGGGGACACTGGTTCTCTAGGGGGAATTACTCTCGTGGAACGTTAAATGCTGTGTGAGTCAATCAAATGTGTGAAAGCTAAATTCATCCCATGAGTCACTGTGTTTAACCTTCGTGTTAGGAGGTTTAATTAGGACGGTCTTGACTCTGAGCTAACAAATTGCATGGATTAGAGGGTCCTTGGTTTATAGTTCTGAGACCAGTGTTTGGAGTACATTTTACCAGTGCGCTGTCAAGCTCTGCCTGGTTGATGTTTGTGCTACAAGGATTAACCTGACAGCAGAGGCACAAGTGGGAATCATGCATTTCAGTTTTATGCTCATAAGAACGCAGGGCTTCTTTCTGACAGAGTAGAAAGAGGGGCCTACAGATTAGTGATAATGTGTGTATCCTTATGTAAAGTGAATATATAGCCGGGTTCATCATAGGAGAGATGACAATTAAAAATATGTCTCCAGGTGTCTATGTACTAGACTGGACTCTGGCGATCATTTTGGTCAGTGTAGGGTAATTGCTGAAACGGAGAACTCCAGCACCAGTGACTGGACACAGGAAAGCTCACTTCTTCCTCCCTCAGGCTCCTGGAGGCCCGTGGGGGCAGGGGGTGGGAGGAGGCTTTGGTGCAGGCGGTCTTCCGGTTCCCAGGCTCCGTCTCTCTCCAGCACCGCGGAGTCCTCCACTTGGGACCCTCTGCTTCAGCTGGCAGACGAAGGAAAGAGAGAGGAAGAGAGAGAGGAGGTGTTTAGGAGCCAGGCTGGACGCGGTGTGTATTACTGCCTGCACTCATTCACCAGGATGCAGTCACATGGTCCCGCTGAACTGCAGGGAGGGCTGGGAAATGTAGTCTGGCCTGTGGCCACCTGACAGTCTCCGCCTCGCTTAGATGTCTGTTCTGGACCCACGTCCAAAATTTCACCCCCGCGTGTGACTCAGGCCACCTTGATTTTTCTGTCGTGTGAAATAACAGACAACATCGGGGAGATGTTGTAGGAGAACTAGGAGTTTCTTTAGGGTAGAGAGGCTGATATTTTTCATTGTTCTAGGTGCTAGGAAATTGAAGGAACCAATGAGCTTTGTTACTTGTTCCTGAACGTTTGGAAAGAGCCTGAATTCCGAGAGACAAGTGTCCAGAAAAATATAGGGTGTTATTGATAAACTAGTATAAGATACTGAGACTTCTTGTGGGGCTTTTCTTATTATTTTTTTAATATATTTTATTGATTTTTTACAGAGAGAGGAAGAGAGAAGGATAGAGAGTTAGAAACATCGATGAGAGAGAATCATTGACCAGCTGCCTCTTGCACACTCCCCACTGGGGATGTGCCCGCAACCACGGTACATGCCCTTGTCCGGAATCGAACCTGCGACCTTTTAGTCCGCAGGCTGACGCTCTATCCACTGAGCCAAACCGGTCCTGGCCTATTGGGGCTTTTAATATGTAAAAGAACAAGTGACAGTTATTGCTGCTTGTTCCCTCTGTTAGGCGGGTCACAATTCTCTGTGGTCACATTCATCTGAGAATATGTTCTGGCTTTGCAGCCTGCGGGCCAGGAGTCCTCGTTCCCCGCTCCCGGGCAGTACCCTTATCCCAGCGGCTTTCCGCCCATGGGAGGGGGAGCCTACCCGGCCGCGCCTGGCGGGGGCTACCCCGGAGCCGGCGGCTACCCCGCGCCCGGCGGCTACCCGGCCCCCGGCGGCTACGCTGGCGCCCCGCAGCCTGGAGGGCCCCCGTCCTACCCAGCAGGTGAGTGATGGGCCAGGGCACCTGGTGGTTTGGTGGCCACAGCACTTGTTCCCTCTTCCCTTTCTCCTCCTCATTCCTGCTTGCTCTGTGGGAGGTCAGAATAGCTCTTGGCCTACTTTCTGCCTTATTCAGCAAGGACACCGGCGAAATAGAAGGCACACGTTCTCAGGGGCCTACCAACTGGGAGCAAGCTCCAAAACTGGGAAAGGAATCTCATGGTGATAAAAGACCAATATAGAACAGTTTGATTATTTATAATCTTAGAAGTTACTAAGGCTTCCCCCCCTAATCCTCACCAGAGGATATGTTTTTATGGGATTTAGGGGGGGGGAGGGGAGAGAGAGACATTGATGTATTAGAGAGACATCGATCTGTTGCCTCCTGTTGTGTCCTGTCCGGGGATGGGATCGAACCTGCAAGCTAGGTATGTGCTCTATTGACAGAAGCGTCATCCCCATGCCCCTTTCAGAGCACGGGGATGACGCCTCTGTCAATGGAGCCTCACCGGCCAGGGCAGGTGAAGGCATCTCAGTTAGCATGATTGTGATCTTTAGCATAGCTTTGTCCAGAGAGAAAAAAAAGTAACTTAGCATTTCTTAAAAAAATAATAATAATAATTGATTTTTTTACCTAGAGGAAGGGAGAGGGATAGAGAGCTAGAAACGTCGATGAGAGAGGAACATCGACCAGCTGCCTCCTGCACACCCCCTACCAGGGATGTGCCCACAACCAAGGTACACGTCCTTGACCAGAATCAAACCCGGGACCTTTCAGTCCGCAGGCCAACGCTCTATCCACTGAGCCAAACCGGTTTCGGCTAACTTAGCATTTTTATACTGTAATTTACTAAAGCAAATGAATGATGTAAAATTTTAAATTTATTTTTTTAATGGGGAAGGAGTTGTTGAGAATGAAGGAGTTGAATTTAGACCAAAAGGGCCCAGAAGCATTAACGGCTCCTTTTTTTCACTGTTAATAGTAGATATTTTTCTGGAGTTTTCTCTTTAGTCATGAGAACTGTCACCAGAGTTGTTTGTTTTCTCCAGTTCCGCCAGGCCAAGGATTTGGAGCGCCCCCCGGGGGAGCAGGCTACCCTGGCTACGGTCAGCCTTTTGGAGGCGTCCCGGCACAGGGCCCGCTGCCCGGTACGTACCCGCTGCTCAGCGTGATCGTCTGAATTTTTCAGTTGCCATCGAGAGAGCTTAGTTTCTGTTTGTCAACGCACATTTATGTTAAGTACCTTTATAGATAAATTGAAATACATGGTTTCATGAAATGAATTAATTTGGTGGGGAAATATAATCAGTAAGATTGAAATAAGATCCACTTTTTCAATTAAAAAAATAATGTCCCAAAGCCAAAAACCTGTGGAACTTCTCTGCTCACTCCGGTACCACGGATGAAGCCACCCCCGGAACCAGGTCCTCACATCCTTCCCAGATGGAATCAGAATGTAATCTGGCTCCAGTGTCTTAAAGAAAAGTGTATTTGTTAGGATATGATGTAGGACGTGGAATATTTTAAAAGGTCTTTATGACCTAGTTTGTTTTAGATTTAGTAAGGTATACGAAAAAATGATTCTAGTGAGTGACATAATGTGAATAGCTCCTTACATTTTTACATAACTCATAATAACCAATGCTGTTTTGAAAACTTAAGTCATGTAAAACCCGTTTTTCTGGATGTTTTTAAACGTGTAGGTGGCTTTCCCGGAGGACAGGTGCCTTCTCAGTATCCCGGAGGACAAGCGCCTTACTCTTCCCAGGTATCGCAGCCCCTGCCTCTTCAGTTGAGTCGGGGTGACTGACCAACGCCAGAGAGCACCACTGCTTTGCCACCTTCGAGGCTTCCAGGAAGCGAATGAGATGGTCTATAACAGCGATTTTCAACCGGTGTGCCACAAGAATTTTTAAAACATGCAATAGCTGACTCTTTCGTCAGGGACACTGACCTCTCTTCCGTTAGATTGTCAAATAAAAAAATGACGACGGCCAACACAGTAGCCACCCAGTGTGAATGAATAAAAATCGTACCTTTTTGGTCAGGTCAGCAAAAAAGATAGTATGTTTTTGGTGTGCTGCAGAATTTTATTTTATTTATTTATTTATTTTAAATATATTTTATTGATTTTTCACAGAGAGGGATAGAGAGTCAGAAACATCGATGAGAGAGAATCATCAATCAGCTGCCTCTTGCACACCCCCTACTGGGGATGTGCCCGCAACCAAGGCACATGCCCTTGACCGGAACTGAACCTGGGACCCTTCAGTCCGCAGGCCGATGCTCTATCCACTGAGCCAAACCGGTCTCGGCTGCTGCAGAACTTTAGTAATCAATTTGTGTGTGCCATGAGATGGAAAAGGTTGAAAGTCGCTGTTCTAGAACATCACTTAAGACGTTAAACTTTGCTTCTGAGAGACTCCATGCTCTCTTCGGCTTACCTGCTGTGAGTAGGAGCCTGATGGCTTTGATAAGACAAACCTAGGTCCCCTCCTCACAGGAGCTAATACTTAGAGTTTTTTCATGGAGATTCGGTTGGGCTCTTAGCCTGGGTTTTAGTTCTTTTTCTCTTCCTCCACTGGCAGTTATAAATATCAACTTGGGGGACTGGCTGATTGGTGATTCTGGCACTGTTCTAATTAGTATGGTTCTGTCTCCCATTCTTACCTTTATAACTCTCCACTCTCCTTTCAGATCAGTACAGAGTCCTTTTCTTCCTATCCCATTTTCTCTCCTGCTTCTTTGGATAATAGCAGTGAAGTGAGTAAGGTTTTCTGATGTTCACTAATTTCTAGTTTCTCTACAGATGCCTTCATTTGTTTCTGATTTCTTGTGTATTTGTCTCTAACCACTTCCTGGGGCTCAGCTGTATTCTAGTTTACCTTTATGTCTGGTGCTCGGCAGCGCTTTAAACATGGTAACCAGTTAATTGTTGAATTGATTTCTCAGTAGCCCCAGAAAGTCTCCTAATGTCACATCTTTGCCTCATTGCTGTATAGCTCCTTGTTTTAACATTTTTACTCTTTAATTGCAATGTTAGTTCTTTTGCAAGTTACTGGGAACATAAGCAGTGTATTTTTATGCTTTTATTTATTTATCCTTGCCAAAAGGATTTCCCAAGGAATTCCAAGGCACAGGAAGATTGTCACTAATTTTACCAGCTGTACTAGTCTCCTGAAAGTTTGGTATCTGACTGTCTGTTGGCAGGAGGGAGATACTAGTAAGCCTTTCCTGCCTCTTCCAGAATGAGTTCTGATAACAATTGCTCATACCCTTGGCCTAGGAGTTTTGACTGGGAAGTCTTGAGTTGACTTTCCAACAGAAAATCTTGTCTTGGATTATTTTGTTTAATTTTTTAATTTTACTGAGTTTGAGCCAAACTAAGGACATATGCTGGGAAGCAAGATTGCAAATGTTCCTCGATATTTATTTATTTATTTATTTATTATTTTTTAAAAATTATAATGTTTATTTATTTATTTATTTATTTTATTGATTTTGTACAGAGAGGAAGGGAGAGAGATAGAAACATCGATGAGAGAGAGTCATCGATCAGCTGCCTCTTGAACACCCCCTACTGGGGATATGCCCGCCACTAAGGTACATGCCCTTGACCAGAATCGAACCCAGGGCCCTTCAGTCTCCAAGCCGACGCTCTATTCATTGAGCCAAACCGGTCTCGGCTCGATTTTTATTTTTAATTTGTATTTTTTTAATTAAAAAAGTGAACTTTTTTTCATATTCTACCCCCCCCCCACACACACACACACACCGGTCTTATTGAGATGGACTAGACACGTAACCGTGCCGGTTTTTGGTGGCAGCGGGAGGGCTTGGTGTGTGTAATGTGAAACGGTCGCCCAGGACTGACTTGGACGCTGTGCCTCTTGCTCCCAGCCCGCCGCCATGACTCAGGGAACTCAAGGAACCATTCGGCCAGCTGCCAACTTCGATGCCATGAGAGATGCGGAAATTCTTCGTAAAGCAATGAAGGGTTTTGGTAAGGAAAGGAGATTTTGTCTCATTTATAATAAGTTTAAGCGATTAAAGTAAAAACAAGCTTTACATCATAAACCACGTTTATGTGTCAGGCCGGGTGCACCTTCCTCCGTCTAACTGGGCACCAGTTACCTTACACATTTAAGACATTTATTTCCGCAGGGAACGTCCAGTGCACTTGATCCTCACTCACACGTGTGTGGTTCTTTCAGGGACAGACGAGCAGGCAATTGTGGATGTCGTGTCCACCCGTTCCAATGATCAAAGGCAAAAGATCAAAGCGGCTTTTAAGACCATGTACGGAAAGGTAATTGTTTGCTTAAGGGAGCATGCACAGTGACTGTAGACGCTGCATCCATGCCAGGTTGGACGTTATTGTTTTACTATTACTGATGAACAAAACGGCTACATTCCAGAGACCCTGGGAGTGGTGTATTCGTTTTTCCTCTTACAAGGCTTTCAAATTCTAGAGCAGTCCTTGGTCACGTTATCAGACCTTGTACAGGTCTGTGTGTAGTCTGTGTTCAGGAGGAAGGAGATGATGACACAGTCGTAATCAGCAGCACGGTTCTCAGTTCTCTCTGAGAGTGGGATTCGAGGGCTTCTCACGGCCCCCCTGCTTATTCTTGGTCCTTGGCATCATCTTCCACTCTTTCCCCTCCCTCCTAGCATATCCTCTGTTTACGACTGCATGGAACTTCTTGCCATTGTCTGCACACACCATGACCTCTTATACTTCTGTGCTTAGTTTATGTTGTTCTCTTGGCCTAGAAGACCTTTTATTTCTTTTTCTGCACGGCAGACATCTTCTCCAGGATTTGGCCTAAATTAGCTACTCTGCGCAGTTCCCTCATTGCTAAATGTTCTCTTCTGTAGCCTCTCTTGTCAGCATAGTCCACTCTGCCTGTTGTTGCCACCTCGGCGCCATTTTCCTGCACACACGTTTCCGGTGGCTCCTGCAAAATCAAATCCAACACTCTCTAGCTTAGTATTCAAGGTAATATTCCAAGCATATAGTTGTAACTTTGATTTACTCACCTGTGAAAATGTTCTCACTCTAACAAAATTGGTTGTCTTATTGTCCCACTGAGCTCACTTTGGTCATTCTTGCCCCTAAGTTAGTGATTCTCAACTTTAGCTCATCCTCATGATCCTTTAGAACTTAGGACACGTGCAGAGGAGCATTTGAGACCTTGCTCCCTGGCATGTCGTCAGTTTGGTTCAAATAACTGACACAATAAAAACAAAAACAAAAACAAAAAAACCCCGCCAAATCCAGAATCTCTTGAGTATTTTCCTCAATATCAGTTTTTGTTTGTTTTTAAGAAAAATTCCACAGATGATTTTAATGCAAAGCCAAGGCTGGAAACCATTTTTCTATTCCATGTTTGTTTTTTCTTCTTGCCTGAAATACCTTTCTTCTTCCTCTTTGCCTGCTAATTTTTATATCCTTTTTGAGATCTGAACTAAAAGCTTTCTTTGCTTCCTGTAGCTCACTTTAACTTTTTCTGTTATTAATTTCTGTACTAGCTACTCATCCAGTGCTGGAGTACGCTGCCTTACCTCTTTTCAGATGTTTATCTTATTTTTCAAATAACACCTTGATGAGGATTTCTACGTCCTCATAGAACAAGAACAGTTTCTTACACTAATAAATATCTGCTCATCATTTTGTTCATTTGAATTGTTCTTTGTTTCATGAATTTCTTGTTTTTGTACCTGGTATAGTGATGGAACTACAGTAAGAATTTAAGTTTTTAGTGATAGAATGAATAAAATAACGTCTACTTGAGTATAACAAACTTTAAATGTATATTTTTACTTATTATTGTATAATATTAATTGAAATTTAGGTTTTCATAAAACAATTCAATTCCATTTTCTGTATTTTCTTTTAAAAATGTAAATTACAAAATTTGGAGAACACACATACTTAGTTTGTACTTATAATTAAACAGGATTTAATCAAAGATCTCAAATCAGAGTTAAGTGGAAATATGGAAGAACTGATCCTTGCCCTGTTCATGCCAACTACATATTATGATGCCTGGAGTTTACGGAATGCAATGAAGGTACTATATATCATTTACTTTGAAGGTCTTATCCAGTTTAAACCTCTTCCCCCTGCCCCCAAATTGTGATAGTTCTGTATTCACAGTGACACCTAGATCATACATTCTTTTTTTTCTTTTTTTAATATCTTATTGATTTTTAACAGAGAGGAAGAGAGAGAGATAGAGAGCTAGAAACGTCGATGAGAGAGAAACATCGGCCAGCTGCCTCCTGCACACCCCTCACCAGGGATGTGCCCGCAACCAGTGTACATGCCCTTGACCGGAATCGAACCTGGGACCCCTCAGTCCGCAGACCGATGCTCTACCACTGAGCCAAACCAGCTTCGGCTAAATCATACATTCTTTAAAATCTCTGACTATATAGAGCTTTTTAGGTCTGGAGGCCAAAGAAATATTTGATAGAACAGTAAGATTTAATAACTTACGGAGACTTTGTTTTTCTTTTGTGTAATTCTTCCTTTCATTATTTCGAACAGGGAGCAGGAACTCAGGAACGTGTACTGATTGAAATTTTGTGCACAAGAAGTAATCGGGAAATCCAAGATATTGTCAGGTGTTATCAGTCGGAATTTGGGCGAGACCTTGAGAAGGACATTAGGTCGGATACGTCGGGGCATTTTGAGCGTTTGCTTGTGTCCATGTGCCAGGTGAGTACCGTGTGGATGTTGTGAGGGCGGAGGGAACAGTCTTTGCTGCCTGGTGCCAGTGAGCATCCTGCATCCTTCTAACACTGAGCCCCTGGGAATCCTGCCACCTGTAAGAGGGACAACACAGGACCCAGTATACGGACTCTCTGTAGTCACTGTTGAGATTTATTTCTGTACGTCTGGCTTTTGAAGGGAATCAGAAATCGATTTGAAGCCGTGTCTTGGGATGGGATGGATCTGTACTTTCAAGCTTAGCGAGTTAAGTTCTGCCATTAAGTACGGACACGCAGGAGCGCCATGGAAGTGCTTTGGGTAAGCACTGAGTGAGGAGAGGATCCACAGAACTATGGTGATCGGCACCTTCCTTATTCTGATGGCCCAGATATACTGGAGAGGGGACAGAAAATTCTCCAAATAGGGTATTTGGAATGATATTATAAACATGCTTAGACTGAGATGATGAGGGTTTACTTGAGCAAGATGATGCAAAAGACGAGCATACTGACCCAATATCAGCAGCAATTGGCTGTCCTGCTGGAGCACAAGGTCGGCAGTCCTGGGGGGTCTGGAAGGAGAGAGGCCCCTCAGAGCAAGGGCCGGTGGCTGCAGGGAGGGCAGTGAGCCAAAGTCAGTGGGCGTGGAAGTGAGGAGGAACACAAGCGCATGAGAGGAAGCGGGATTTACCTTCAACAGAGGAACAGCAGGGAGGAGGTTAGCATTTTAGAGAGAATGAGAAGAAAACAAACAGGGACGGGTTTAACACTGAAAATGATGACGACTTTACATGAGGGGTGGAGTGTCTGCAGGGTTCAAGGCCCAGCCGGTCTATAAAGCAAAGGGACCCCTTCCAGGGCGTAAGCGGAGGAATGGCTTCCTAGGAAACCAGAAGTGCCTGTGTTTGAGGCTAAGGCATACGGAAGGCAGCGTCCCCGAGTCCTGCTCCCGCTGTATTCAGTGTCCGCTGGAATACGCTGCTGCGCATTCCTGTGGCCAGGACTCTTCGGAAGGCAGCACCTCACCGAGGGAGCACCTCTCCGTGTTCCTCCGACACCGAGACTCTGGAGGACGCCTTTCCTTTGTGTTTCTGTTTTGGAGTGAAACCAGCTGCCCATCTAAGCTTTACTCTTGCTCAGGCTCACAGCTTCCTCCCTCTCCTTCTTTCCTAGCCCAGGAGAGATTTTGGTATACAAATTGGCACAATCGAGAAGAATTTGAGTTATTTATAACCTTCTTCTAAAAACCTCATGCATCATTTTTATTTATACCTTCATAATAAATACTTACATATTAAGATTACACCTGGAAAGGAAAGGAAGTTTACGAAGCCTCCGTATTTTGCTAGTATGTTCCCTTCCTTGACTTAAATTCCTTGAGGGCAGAGACCTTGTTCCTAGCATGTAGCACATCCCGTTGGTTTGTTCTCTGAAGAGTAGAGGCTGGCACAAAGCAAGTGCTTCCTACCTTTAGGTTGCATTAATGAATACAAAGTGGAGTTAAGTGTAATGCATATGGATCTTAAATCCTTGCTAAGGAGAATGATAACCTCTTCATTTAAGTGGTAGTTTATTTCTCCTAGTAGAGATTTGTGTGTGTTTGTGTGGTGTGTGTGTGTGTGTGTGTGTGTAGTGTGTGTATAAAAATCTGGTTTAACTTAGATTTCAAAGCCCTTGAAAATCTCTCATTTTAACATAATCTCATTAAATCATGATCACATACTCTAAAATTCAAAATTGACCGTGCAATGAAGTACTAGTTACACTAGTGTAGTTCCTTTGGAAATGAAAGCTATGCATGACAAACTTGATGCATTAATCTTTTTATTTAAAACTTTTTAATTGATTTGAGAAAGAGAGAGAAACATTGATGCGAGAAACAAACATTGATCAGCTGCTTCCCGCACACACCCAATGGGGCTCATACCCCAACCTGGGAACGCGCCCTGGCTAGGAGTGGAACCCTCCACCTTTTGGTTTACATGACGACGCTCCAACTACTGAGCCACCAGCCAGGGCTACGCATTAATCTTTAATAAATGACTGGACTGGGAAGAACATTTTTAATAAAACTATTTCACTTCCTTCCTTCTGCCTTCTTTTTCAGGGGAACCGGGATGAGAACCAGAACGTTAACCACCAGATGGCTCAGGAGGATGCTCAGCGTCTCTATCAGGCTGGCGAGGGGAAGCTGGGCACAGATGAGTCTTGCTTCAACATGATTCTCGCCACAAGAAGCTTTCCTCAGCTGAGAGCTACCATGGAAGCTTATTCCAGGGTATGAGCTTTTATTTGGAAGGCCTGGCTTCTGTTTGAAGGTGTGGAAATATTTTAACCCCTGTACTTTCTGTTTGCAGGTGGCTAATCGAGACTTGTTAAGCAGTGTCGGTCGCGAGTTCTCCGGAAATGTTGAAAGCGGTCTGAAGGCCATCTGTAAGATACTTTTGTGTTCTGCTTTATTTTGTTTGTAAATGAGTGAGGCTTTAGAATATTTTTTGTCCCTATTAAGTAATGACAATAAGCCTCCCTGGAATCTGCTTAAGCAAAGGCTGAGCCAGTCTGTGAATGATCAATCAGGGTTGTTTCAGAATTATTTGATGTTTGTTCTATATGCCCTTCTTGAGAACTATGCAAGGATATACGATAGCCCTGTCCAATAGCTCAGTTGGTTAGAGTGTCATCCTGATAAGTCAAGGTTGTGAGTTCAGTCTCTGGTCAGGGAACATATAAGAATCAGCCAATGAAGGCATTAATAAGTGGAACAATAAATCTCTCTCTTTCTCTATCCATTCCTCCTCCTCTCTCTCCCCTTTCCTTCCTCCTCCTCACCTTTCCCTTCGCCTCTCTAAAAATCAATCAATAATTTTTAAAAAAATATATATATATATTTTATTGATTTTCCACAGAGAGGGATAGAGAGTTAGAAACATCGGTGAGAGAGAATTATTGGTCAGCTGCCTCGTACACCCCCCACCCCCGCTGGGGATGTGCCCTCAACCAGAGCACATGCCCTTGACCGAAATTGAACCTGGGACCTTTCAGTCCTCAGGTTGATGCTCTATCCACTGAGCCATACCGGTTTCGGCTCCATCAATAAAATTTTTAAAAATATGTATGTGTATATATATATACACACACACACACACACACACACACACACTATATGGTAGATTGTAACATTTCCATTAAGGTGACTGGAAAAGCATGCAGCTATGAGTGCCACTACACAAAGCATTGTTTTTGAGCCCCCAAAACACTTTTCAAGCACTCAGCCTGAGGAGACTCTCTCCCTTTTGGAACTATATACCAAATTTCTGTTTCCTGATACTCAGATGCCTAATGAACTGGAACTATTATTCTCATGGACAATATAGGACTAAAGAGAGTATTAGTAACACATTGATATTAGCAATTGAAGGTCTTACAAATAACACTATAGTATTGTAGCTAAATTAATAGTGAAACATTCTCTACCATCTGCAGGAAAAGACTTTGCTGAGTTAATTTTACTAAGAAAAGCCTGTTAGATTTTTTTACAATAGAGCACACTGGCCAGGCAGACTTCTTATTCTGAAATCTTTGCTCAAATCTGTTTTCTCTTTTATAATATTTGTATTTCATATCCTTTTCTGGGGAAAATGCTATATTTGACTCCTAGAATTCAAAATTCATCATTGCTTTTAAGTAAGATACTACGAGGACAGAGTTGCTATATATCTTCTCAGAGTGAGGGGAACAAATACAAAGCATCTAAGCTGTTGCATCTGGAGAGAAAATGGTTTTTTTGGGGGGGCGGGGGGGGGCCTGGGGGTAGCCAGAGGGAATCTTTTGAATTGAAAGTAGCTAGTCTGGTGCATCTAGAAAGAAAGGTGATAAAAATCAAGGGGAGAATATTTTCAGCCTCAGATTCCTGGGGCGATGCCATGGGGCCGATCAGAGCAGGTAGCAGTGCAGGAGCGGGCGGGGCGGGGCGGGTCTGAGGCCTCTCTGCCTTGCAGTGCAGTGCGCCCTCAACCGCCAGGCCTTCTTCGCTGAGAGGCTCTACTGCTCCATGAAGGGCGCCGGCACGGACGACTCCACGCTGGTCCGGATCGTGGTCACGCGCAGCGAGGTGAGCCTCCCTCTCTGTCTGACTTGGTAAAAGTTCCTCCCGTGGCCGTCAGTCCCTCGGGAATGATGGTAGGAGCGGCTGTCTGTGCCGCCGCCGGGCTAAGCAGGGTGGTTGGTATAAAGCACAGCGGTCCCTTCCTCGGCCGAGAGAGGCTTTAGTGAAACGGACCACTGTCTGCACCTGAGGCAGCAGCAGAGCAAATAAATAAATTATACTAAAGAAGGTAAATTATTTATTTTTAAAAAGACAAATAAATAAATTATACTAAAGAAGGTAAATTATTTATTTTTAAAAAGACAATCAGAATAGGGTGTTTTATCTTTTTTTTTTTAAATTGATTTCAGAGAGAGGAATGAAAAGGGAGAGAGATGGAAACATCAATGATAAGAAAGAATCATCAATTGCCTGCCTCTTGCACATCCCCTCTGGGGACTGAACCTGCAACCCAGACATGTACCCTGACCAGGAATTGAACCCTTACCTCCTGGTTCATGAGTTGAAGCTCAAACTCTGAGCCACACTGGCCAGGCCTGAATAGGGTGTTTTAAAAAAGCTAACTTATTTATTTGTTCATAGACCTAAATTTTCTATGCAAGATATTTTTTTAATTACAATAAAATATAATATAAAACTTACCATTTTAATAATTTTTTTAAATACAGTTCAGTGGCATTAAGTTCATTCACATTGTTGTGCAACCATCAGCACCAGGATTTTTCACCCGAATTCCCCCTCATTCAACGATAATGCACCGTTCTTTCTCCCCAAGAGATGTGCAGCCATCATTCCATTTCTGTCCCTATAAGTGCTTACCCCCGGTCCCTTAAATAAGTGGGAACATACTGTATTTGTCCTGTTGTGACTGTTTTGTTTCTTCTTTTCACTTAGGATAATGTCTTCAGGGTTCATACATGTTGTATCTTGTGTCAGAATTCCCTTCCCTTTTAAGATTGAATAATTATTGTATGTCTGTCCACCTTTTGTTTATCCATTCATCTGTCAGTGGACACTCAGGTTGCTCCCACCTTTTGGCTGTTGTGAACGGGGCTGCTCTGAGCGTGGGTACATGAATTTTTTTTTTTAGTCCCTGCTTTCATTGTTGTGTCTTTCCCAGAAGTGGAACTGCTGTGTCATATGGCAGTTATATTTTGTTATTGTTTTAAGGAATCACTATACCATTTTCCACAGTGGTTCCCTATTTTACCGCCCTACCAGCAATCCACAAGAGTTCCAACTTCACATCCTTGCCAACACTTGTTATTTTCTGTGTTTTTAATAGTAGCTATCTGAGTATCCAATGGTTTTTAAATGACTAAAAATTTTGGAATAATAGAGGAGACTCATACCATCCTTATCCAATATTTCTACAGAACAGTGAGTCAGAGACTTTATTGGGTGATTGCTGACTATAAAATGTCAGTCACTTGGTGTTATTTTCCCTGTACTTTGGTTATAATTAGGATCTTTTCACTATCAAAAAATAATTCTAATAAATGCCAGTTTTCTTTTGACAGCTTTTTTCTAACATTAAAAGTATCATTTCTTGCATGCAGATTGATCTCGTACAAATAAAACAGATGTTCAGTCAGATGTATCAGAAGACCCTGGGCACCATGATCGCAAGTGACACGAGCGGAGATTACCGGAGGCTGCTGCTAGCCATTGTGGGCCAGTAGGAGGGTTTGTTTTTTTTTAAATGAATGAAGGTGTGCAGAGCTTATTTTTCAAAGCAGTGCTGACCTGCATGCAGCAATATCAACCATCATGTAACCAAAAGAACTTTTTATTAAAGACTGTGTCAGGGTTGTGCTTAGTTTGCACATGCGGTAATTGCCTTAATTCCATGTTATTTTTCTCTCTATACAATCAATGTAAAGCCATAATCATAATGTAGCATTAATGGCCTGTTTGTAAAGTATACTTTTCTCACTGTACTTACTCTAATCAGGATGCCCAATTGAATAAAAGTCACAACAGTCTCTAATTCTGTGTAATAATAGTGAATTTTTATGAAGGTTGCTAAAAATTCTACCTGCTAGGTTCGTTGGGCAGTTATAATTAATAATATTTCAAAACTATTGCTTAAAAAAAAAAAGTTTAGCTCTTTTAACCTAGAGTAATTTACATCTTATTTTATATAAATTAGTATTCTATACTCATAAACACTAATCTTTACACATAGAAAATAGATTAGTATTGCTTGTAGCAACTTTTAAAAGGGATTAAGTATTATATGCATAAAACACATAGCCTACTTTTATGTCTATTAAAACCCCCTAAATTGACCCCTGATTTAAAAAGTATATATATTCAGCCCTAGCCAGTTTGATAGAGCAGTGGCCCTCGAACTGAAGAGTCTCAGATTCAGTTAACTTTATACCCATTAGCAATCCCTCCTCATTCCTCCTCCTCTCCACCTCATGGCAATCACTAATACATACTCTGTCTCTCTGGATTTGCCTGTTTGGGGCTTTTCATATGAATGAAGTATTAATAATATAGTAAGTGGCCTTTGTGTCTGGCTCCTTTCAATTAGCGTACTGTTTTTTTAAGATCTATCAGTTGTAGCATAAATCAATACTTCATCTATTTAATGGCTGTACAATCCATTGTTTAGATTATATATACATTTTGTTTGTAGCTCCATTCATTGATGGACATGTGGGTTGTTTTCACTTTTTGGTTATTATGAACAATACTGTTATGAACATTCTTGTACAAATTTTGTGTGGATACACGTTTTCACTTCTCTTGGCTGTGCAGCTAGGAATTGCTGGGGCACAGGATATCTTCATGTTTAACTTTTTGATGATCTGCCAAACTATTTTCCAAAGCAGTAGCATCTACCAGCAACAAATGAGGTTTCTAATTTCTCCTCATCCTCACCAATACTATCATTGTCTATCTCTTTGTGGGTTGTTTTTTTTTTAATGTATTTTTATTGATTTTAGACAGGAAGAGAGAGGGAGAGAGCGATAGAAACATCAATGATGAGAATCATTGATTGGATGACTCCTGCATGCTCCCCACTGGGGATTGAGCCTACAACCTGGGCATGTGCCCTTGACTAGAATTGAACCCGGGACCTTTCAGTCCGCAGGCCGATGCTTTATCCACTGAGCCAAACTGGCAAGGATATCTTTGTGGTTTTGATTTGCATTTCCCTAATGACTAATGAGATATTTCCTTGTGTTTATTTGCCATTTGCATATTCCTTTAGAAAAATGTCTATTCAAATACCTTGCCCATTTTTAGATTGTGTGGTCTTTTTGTTGTTAAGTTGCAGGGTTATTTATATATTCTGGATAGTAGACACTTATCAGATATAATTTTGTTTTGTGTTATTTTATGATATGGTCAGTCATGTGGGCTCAAGGAGAAATTTATCTCCCAAGATGTACTCCCCGTGGCCAACTTGCCTCCAGGAAGGGACTGGGCTGAGGCAGGTCAGCTGTGGCACGGTCTGAGATTGACTTCTTCAAGGAAAGAATTCAAGGCACGAGTCCAGATGATTTTTAGAGTGTTTATTAAAGCTTGGGATAGTTAAACAAAGGTAGGCCTTCGGATAGAAGTACAAGCGGGAAAGGAGGTCACAGAAGTGAGCGAGGCTGGGCTGCCCAGACTCACTAATGAAAGCCATAGTCACAGCAGTGAGCCAGGGGGGCGCTGCTTTTGGCTCACTGGAGAGTTAGGCAAGAGGAGGGCCCTTGGAGCTTAGGAGAAAGGAAGTTCCAGCCTGAAGAAAGGGAGCCCTGGCCGAAACTGGTTTGGCTCAGTGGATAGAGCGTCGGCCTTCAGACTCAAGGGTCCCAGGTTTGATTCCGGTCGGGGGCGTGTACCTTGGTTGTGGGCACATCCCCAGTGGGGGGTGTGCAGGAGGTGGCTGATCGATGTTTCTCTCTCATCAATGTTTCTGACTCTCTCCCTTCCTCTCTGTAAAAAAAAAAAAATCAATAAAATATATTTTAAAAAGAAAAGAAAGGGAGCCCCCGGCATGCTCCCGGGACAGCATGCCCTGGCACCTTGGTCCTGAGGGCTTTTATCTGTTTTCTAAAAGTGAGAATTTCAGGGGAGTTTCAGGGGAGGATCTCAGCAGAATACTGACCAGCTTTCCTGGTGTCCTCTAACATGCTGATGCATCACAGGGAGTGTGTAGGGGGTTGAGATTATCCTCAGGTCAGCTTCACCTCTTTCTTGGATTTGTCTGGCTCTCATTTTTGGTTGTTGTTTAGCTATTTATTCTTCTGACTTTATTCATTCTTCTGTTTGGCTGGCACTAATGTGACTAACTGGGTCTCTGTTATCTCCCTGACGAGGCTGATCTCTCCAGTCAGGGAGGAGAGATATAAACCATTTGTTCCCAAGTGTCCTTATGGGAAAGGTTAGTAAAAAGCTAGGAAAATTCCTTGGCAAGTGGATTGGGGAAACTAAGATAGATAGCTAAGCAGATGGCCCAGGAATCTGCAGCCAGCTAATAAAATGACAAGTTCTTATCTTCCCTCACCAAGGACACTTAGGAGCAAATAGTTTACACATTCCAGACAGTGAGGAGAGCAAACCAACCTTGGTCCCAGTCCCTTTCTGGTGACATTCTTTTTTTGTTGCTCTTTATTGTTGTTAATCCTCACCCAAGAATATTTTTCCATCGATTTTCTCAGAGAGTGGAAGAGGGGGGAAGACACACAGAGCGAAACATCAATGTGAGAGAGACACACCAATTGGTTGCCTCCCTCATGTGCCCCAACCAGGTCCAGAGATAGAGCCTGCAACTGAGGTATGTGCCCTTGGCTGGAATCAAACCTGGGACCTTTAGGTTTGAGCTTGAGTGCCTACGCTCAACCCACGGAGCCAAATCTGAGAAAACTGGTGACATTCTTTGAAGGTGAAACTGACCAGAGAATGACCATTTTGATGCATCAGCATGTCAAAACTCAATATTCTGTTAATATGGAGACTCTCCACCGAGACTTTCCCTAAAATTTCTGTGCAGGTCTGTGTCTTCGTCCCTCCTTTCCTCAGGCGTGTATTTTTGCTCTAAAGATTCCCAGGAGACTTGCAACCTGGGGAGCAGTGAGCAGCAACAGCTCATCTTGGGCCAACTCCCGGAACCTGTCTCCAATGCCCCTCCTTTTGCCTCTGTAACTTGTTTCCCGAGTCCATGCAGCCCAGCTGGTTCACTTTTTCTGCCTCTGTGATTTCCTCTCTAAAGACCGAGGCAGCCTTGCCTAAGCCTGGCCCTTCCTCATGTTTCCAGAGGGCCAACTCGGCTCTATCTGGCCTCAGTCCTGTTCTTGCTCCTTCATCTTCAGCCCCTGCTTTGTTTCACTGTCCCCAGCTTTAATAAGCGCACTCTCAGAATTACCTGGACTCATTTCACGAAATCTTTCCTGCGTGAAGTCAAGAACCCACGCGTTCCAGATTGGGCCAGGGCAGATCTGCCTTGGTCCTGGTCCCTTTCCAGGAACACTTGGTGAGGGTGCATGAGGTCTTGAGATTTGTTAGCTGGCTGTTAATTGCTCAGATGCATAACCCTCTGTCTCAGTTTCCCCATTCCACTTGCCAGGGGATTTTCCTAGCTTTTTCCTAACCTGCTTTAAACTGAAGACCCAAATTTTATGTATAGTAAGAGTCTAATCTGTCAGGGGCTTCTCCCATTCTCTGTATTCCTGGAAGAACCTCAGACTGAACTCTTGTCTTGTCGCCCTATGACCTGCCTGTGTCCATCGCTGCAGGGAAACCCTGGTTTCATTTTCTCCACCAATGGACTGAGACCTGCCCTTCAATCAGAACTGTGCGATTTGGATACCGCATTTACAAAAACTGGCCTAACTCGGAACCTGGGTGCGACCTTTTGCTATAAAAGATGGCCACCCCTTTGTCTTGGGGGAACACAATTGAGGTTGTTACCTAAATCTATGTCTCCACGCTGCAACTCCTTTGCTCACATAAATGCTTTTTATTCTTTATTACAATCTAAAATTAATTTTTGGTTTACTAACAGGTGTAGCCACAAAAGGAAACACAATAGAGGCTCAGAAAAACAATTTATTATATTCAAATGTCCTAGAGAGGGGAGGCACTGCACACACAGGGTCACGTGGGAAAGATGCCAGGGTGGTCAGGAGCCTGGGGGAGTACTTGGGCCTTCATCGGGGTGTCTGAGAGAAAGGGGAGGGAGGGCAAGACAAGCAGATAAGGGTTGGCTAGTTTGAATAAATGCGGGTGGCCTTCAATTGCCTGGTAACTGGCCCTGGGGTGATTAAGGTAGAGAAACAATAGCTTCCTGGGGTGCAGAGCCAGATACTGGAGGTATAGCTCTGGATTGGTTAGTTTGCAGATCAAAGACACGCTCCTGGCTGGCCCTTTGCTATCTGTAAGAACTGGCTACTCAGGGAGGGGATCTCTGTTACCTAGAATACTTTTTTATGATGTAACATAACATACAAAAACTCATATATGCCTGGCCTGTGTGGCTCAGTAGTTAAACATTGACCCAGGGACTAGGAGGTTACAGGCTTGATTCCCATTCAGAACACATGCCCAGGTTTCAGGCTTGATCCCCTGTAGGGGGCGTGCAGGAGGCAGCAGATCAATGATTCTCATCGATGTTTCTATCCCTCTCTCCCTCTTCCTTCCTCTCTGAAATAAAATTTTAAAATATTAAAAATTATATACTGGTTGGGTAAAAGTAGGTTTACAGTTTTCATTTGGAAAATAGTACAATAATTAATACAAAATAAACTTTAATGTACTCACAACTGTAAACCTACTTTTGCCGCCACCCCCCCCATACACACACACACACACACACACACACACACACACACACAATTTAGATTTACAAGTATTTTCTCCCATTCTGTGGGTTGTCTAAATTTTCTTGATTGTTTCCTTTGATACACAGAACTTTAAAATTTGATAAAATACAATTTCCTTTCTTTTTCTTTTTTTTTTTTTGTTTGTTACTTGTATTTTGGGGAGTTATGTCTAAGAAATCATTGCCCAATGTAAGCTTAGGATGATTTACCCTTATTTTCCCCCAAAAAATTTTATAGTTTTGGTTCTTATATTTAAGTCATTGACATTTTAGTTGATTTTTATACATGGTGTGAGTTAAGTGTTATCTTCTTTCTTTTGCATTTCTATATCAAGTTGTCAAAGCATTATTTAAAAATATATATATTTATTGATTTCAGAGAGGAAGGAAGAGGGAGAGAGATATAAACATCAATAATGAGAGATAATCATTGATCTGCTGCCTCCTGCAAGTACTCCACTGGGGATTGTGTCCACAGCCCTCGATTGGAATCAAACTTGGGACCTTTCAGTTTGCAGGCTAACCCTCTATCCACTGACCCAAACTGGGTAGGGCAAGTTGTCCCAGCATTATTGAAAAGACTGTTCTTTCCTCAGTGAATTATTTTGACACCATTAAGCAAAAAATCAACCATAAATGTATAGGTTTATTTCTGAACTCAGTTTGATTCCATTTATATTTCTATTCTTAGATCTTGATTTCTGTACTAGATTACGTGATAACAGGAGCTTTATAAGTTAGAAATTGGGAAGTGTGTGTCTTCCAACTGTTTTTTCAAGATTGTGTCGGCTATTCTGGGTCCCTTGCATCTCCACATTAAATTTAGAACTCACTTATCACAGAGTGGTATGTATAGTTTAAAATTTTGTTTTAAAGTAATTTCAAATGTATAGAAAAGTGCCCAAAACTGTAAAGAACTCCCATGTCCCTGTTCACCCAGATTTTGAAGTATCATAGTTAACATTTTATTGGTTCATTGCTCACTCTGTTTGTGTATGAGTGTGTATGCATAACTCTTGTTATTAGCCTTTTTCTGGATCTTTGGATAGTTAGCAGAGCTCACAGCAGACATGAGCTGTGTCCTATAACTCCTAAACACTCCCGTGTGTATTTCCCCCAAACAGGGCCACTCTCCTACATAACAGTCAATGACCTTCCACATCAGGAAATCAGTATTGGCACAACACTACCATCCAGCCCACGAAGCCCATTCACCTTTCCCCGACCGCCCCAGCAATGTCCCTTTTCATTTCTCATCCAAAAAGCTATAGGAGAATACATATTGCATTTAGTTGCCATGTATTTTGAGAATCCTTTGGTCTGGAGCAGTTCATGTCTTTCTTATCCGTGACAGTTTTAAGAGAGTACAAGCCTTACTTTCTATAGGATGGCCTAAAATTTGGGTCCCTCATGGCAGGAATACCAAAAAATGATGCTTTGCCTTTTCTCTGTGAGTCTCTTCAGACTCTTCCCAACATTGGTGATGCTAACCTTGTTAACCTGATCATGTTGTTTTCTTCAATTATCTGGGTTTCCCCTTTGTGATTGATTAGTATTTCAAAATCATGCTAATATCCTAACCTTCATCAAACCTCCCCCTATCAACCACTGAAGATTTATGCCTGAATCATTAACACCTTTATATTATAGTGGGTGCCAAATGGTAATTCTCTATTTCCACTATTTCCTCTTCATTACTGAGTGGCATTCTATGGTTAGGACTTTCCTTTCCATTTATTTATATCAATGTGAACTTGTGTATTCTTATTTTATTTAGTGGATTGTCATTCGTTCATATTACTGCATATACTGATGCTCAGATTTGGCCAGTGGAGCCCCTTCAAGCTGGCTGCTAAGATTGCAACATTTTGCCCTAACCTGTTTGGCTCAATGGATAGAGTCTGCCTGGGGACTGAAGGGTAGAGGGTTCCAATCCCGTCAGGTGCATGTACCTTGCTTGTGGGCACATCCTCAGTAGGGGGCTTGCTGGAGGCAGCTGATCGATTTCTCTCTCTTCAATGTTTCTAATTATCCCTCTCCCTTCCTCTCTGTAAAAAATCAACAAAATATATATATTTTTAAAAAGATTGCAACATTTTAATGTATGTATTCTAAGATTCCACCACGCTGTGACTGCTTTGTAATATGCTATTTTGTGAATATGTGTGTTTCTTTATCCACTCTTCTGCTGTGGGCACTTGGGCCCTTCTCAGGTGTCTACTATTGCTTTTTGCTATTCCAACTCTAATGTTACACTTGAACTGTATTGAAATCTTTCATTACATCATGTACTTCAAGTCTGTATATTGTAGAAATACCAAGCACTAGAAGCAGCGTTTGTTTTCTCCCGCTGAGAGGCTCACTTTTAAAATACTCTTATCTGCATTTTTACTGGAGATTTAAATGACCTGTTTTTAAAAACATTTAGTACAGGTTTTTATCTTTAAGTAAGTTTCCTTTCCCACCCTTCGTATTTACGTAGGGATAGTGAAGGGAAAGGGCTGAGATAGCAACATTAAAAGGCGGAAAACCTCGCACTCACCCCTAACTGTTGCCCAGGGAACGTGCCGCCGCGGAGGCAGGACCAAGCGGGCCAATCAGCACGCGTTCCGAGCGCAGGCGCAGAAACTCACATTCCCATTGGGCCGTTTCTGCCTCCAAACATTATCGCGAGTCTTGGGGCGGGATTTCTGGTTACTGCAGACACTAAGTTCTCGCGAGAGGTAATTGGTTGCTATAGTTGCGAAAAACGCAGCTGTGGCTGCTGCAGGTAAGACAGCTGTCTCCCCAGAAAACCCCTTCTTCCCGGGCTCCCCACCCCGCTCTGCGGCCACACCCGTCCCTCACTCTCTGCCTCGGCAATGGCTGAGCTGAAGCGCATCCCTGCGCGGCTGACCCCCCACACGCACCTAAACGCCACCGACCCCACTAAAGCGACGGCCCCGCCAAGCCAGGCCTCCCACCCTCAGCGGAACAGACCCTCCGGCTTGGCGCAGACGGCGCCCGCTGCGGACCACACCTCCTCCCACCGGCTCCTTCATCTCACTTGTCTCTGACGGACTCCTCCTGCACCTTCTGAACAGATGACAAGAAATGCGCGCCTTGTGTGGGCAATAGGAGCCCCTGCCTGACGGCCCTGGCATAACTTGTAATTAGCCGTATTTCTTGCCTTCGTTACTCAACAATATGCCGCTAATGCCTCTTGTAGAACAGGCATGGTACCAGGCCCTTAGCGGCTGTAAATATGAATGATAGATTACTTTTATTTTTATTCTTTTGTTAATCATCACCCAAGGACATATTTCCATTGATTTTTACAGAGAGTGGAAAGAAGGGGGCGATACAGAGATAGATAGAAAGATAGAGACAAATAGATAATAAATAGAGATAGATAGATAGATAGATAGATAGAGATGTGAGAGACCCTCAGCGATTGGTTGCCTTCCCCACACGCTCTGACCAGGGCCAGGGATTGAGCCTACAACACAGATACATGCCCTTGACCGGAATCTAACTGGGGCACCCACCCTTCAGTCTGTGGGTCGAGGCTCTGTACAGAGAGTCAAATCAGCTAGGGCGACTACTTACCTTTAAGGGGGTAATTGAGCATTTAGAAAAGCAGTGAATATAATAATGCCATTTGTGCTTTGCTTCATAGGTTAAACAGTTTTACTATTACAGTGGATATCCACAACAAAGGTGAAACAGGTCAGAAATGTTATCCATTTTACAGTAGGTGAAACTGAGGCTCGGAGAAATTAGACATTTGTCTAGGGTCAGGCTAGTAAAGACCCAATTCATGTAGTACTATTGAAAAGGAAAGAAGAAAATGAATACAAAAGGTCATTTCAAGCATAAACCGTGCTAGGCTGTCAGGGCCACTTAGGCCAGAAGGATCCTGGAGACGTGGTGTTGAACAAGTGATAGGAGACTTTCAGGTGAATGGGAAGATGAAGGTGGAGCTCTGAAGAGACAGAATAATGTTAAAGTCTGGGGGCAGCAAGAAGAAATCTCATTATTTCGTACCACCAGTCCTAGACAGAATTAGCATAGTAACTTGAATTGCATTAAGTTCCACTTTGAGTTGAGTCAGAAAACATGACCTTTAAAAATACACACAGATATCCAATTTATTTTTAAATGGTGTCCTCGGTATTGTAAAATAATTAGAAAACATCTTTGACTAAATGAGACACATGTGAGGGCTTTTTCCAGTGGACTAAACATTCTATGTGTCTGCCATATTTATATATAATGATTAAATAACCTTCAAGTGGAGTTTTGCACTTTAAAAGCTACCAAAGAATACTATGAAGGATTTGGGGAATGGGAATTGGGGAGATGGTATTCTACCCTCTCTGTTTTGTGATAATTTGTGCTTAATGGGTCAGATACATGTATGAGGATCCTTTTAGCACTATCAGTGGAATCATCCATGTGACCAGCTTCCTGAAGCCCTGCCTGTCTAGCAGCAAAGGTTGGAAAGACCACAAAACAGTGCTGGACGACTGCACTTCCCTAACTTCTCCCTGGGATTGGTTATGAGTAGTGTGAGTACTTGTGCAGCTACGGGATATGAGGGGACAGGTTCGTTCATTATGTTTACAGGGACCAAAGAAGACCGGAGGGACTTTGTTCAGGTGCTGACATGGAGCAGATCACATCAGCAGGGAAGCTTGTGCAGATCACTGTGACAGATGGCTATGAATTGGTAAAGTTATTTTTGGAAATCTGAGAAATCCCTAGTTTATTCATATTTTTTGAAAGTATATTTATTTATTTTTTTAAAATATATTTTTATTGATTTTGTACAGAGAGGAAGGGAGAGAGATAGAGAGCTAGAAACATCGATGAGAGAGAGTCATCGATCAGCTGCCTCTTGCACACCCCCTACCGGGAATATGCCCGCAATCAAGGTACATGACCTTGACCGGAATCGAACCCGGGACCTCTCAGTCCCCAAGCCAATGCTCTATCCATTGAGCCAAACCGGTTTCGGCAAAAGTATATTTATTTTTTAGCTTAGATCTGTCTGTCAAAATCTGTGGGTTGAGGAGGCTATGTTGGGAGCACAATGGGAAGGAATGGAGTTTTGCATCATCCTATACCACCAATCTACTGGCTTTACATAGCAAGGGCCCTTCCCTCTCATTGCTTCTCATTGACAGCCTAGAATATGAATCTGGCAATTTGAATACTAAATTTAACAGGTAAAATAAGGAGCCATTTTTGTTTTCCTAGTCAGCAATTCATTCCCTTTTTCTGAAAAAAATCTGAAGTCTTCCAGAGTTTCCCTTATGATTAATTTCATTTGATGAATTTAAATAATAAGATTACAATATGATATAAACTATTCAAATTATAATAATAATGAAATGGCAAAATATTCATTTAGTATTAAATAAAAAGCTCTTTCCAAGCAGGATATAATATATGTCCTCTACTTTGTTTTAAAAGGTATATGTAAATATGTGTGCATATATATATACACACACAAAGAAATGCACATATGTATTCACAACAAAACACTAGAAAAAATATTTGAAAATGTTAATGGTATTTGCATACTAGAGATTACAGGTTATTTATTTATTTTAAATATATTTTATTGATTTTAGAGAAAAGGAGAGGGAAAGAGAGATAGAAACATCAATGATGAAAGAGAATCATTGATCTGCTGCCTCCTATTCACCCTACACTGGGTATCAAGTCCCCAACCTAGGTATGTGCCCTAAGCCAGAATTGAACCTGGGATCCTTCAGTCCACAGGCAGATGTTCTATCCACTGAGCCAAGGGCAGTAATTTATTTTTATGTTTTTCTCACTTTTCCACATGTTCCACAATATAATTTTATAAACATAATGAGTGTTATTTTTTTTTTAACTTCAACATAATGGCATTTAAATACAATGTTGCATTTAACTATAATTAGATTTGTTTAATGACTTTCTACCTACTTCTTTTGTATTTGTAATGTAGCTTGATATGGGAACATGGAAAATGCTATTTAGTTCAAGTAAAAATGGGTTGCCAGATGTGTAGAAAAATCCTCTATTTGAATATAATTGTAAAGTAGTATGTTTCTGTCAACAGAAAGGTTCTAAAGGAGATACCCCAGTTACCTTTATTCGTGCAGAGTTTAATCAGGCAATTCTGGGAGACTCAGCAAAAATTACTGTTTCTTCAGAAGGAACTGCAAAATACAACTTCACTAGCAGTTTTGAGTTCAATCCTGAGGGAGGAATCACTTTAGACGACCTCGCCCACAAACCTGTGTTCTGTGAGTCTCTGTGCCTGTAAAAATGTTAATTACATGAATATGTTAATTACATGAATATGTTATGAGGAGATCTGAGATGTGATAGAAGATGTCGTTGGGACAGATGGACACACCTTACCTTTCTAATCTAGGTGTGACCTGGTATACTTTGAGAGCTACCTGCTAGTTCGTATCAAAGACCTGTTGATACATGACTAAACTTTGCAGCCCTTATCTCCTAAGCTGACTTGGGAGCTTTTCTTTTGTGTTCTTGTCTTTAGGGTTGCCAGATTTAGAATAAAACAAAAAACAAAATTGGGGATATACTTATACTTAAAAAATTATGAATTGTTTATCTTAAATTTAAAATTTTAAGTGGGTATCTTGTAATATTTTACTTGGCAACCCTATTTATTTCTGTATACTCACCATACTGTCTAGCAGTTGTTAATTCGACTCCCTTACTAGTGGATGCAGTTTTTGAAATCTGGCCTGGATCTTATTTATTTCAGAGTTTCTACTGCCTAGAAATATCTGAAACAGGCATGCAGGCGAGAAGTTAGGGGTGATCAGGCAGGCAGGTGAGCAGTTAAAAACTAGTGGTCCCAGATTGCTAGAGGGTGCAGGCAGGGCTGAGGGACCCCCCAACTCTGTGCACAAATTTCGTGCACTGGGCCTCTAGTTAAACTATATAAAGCAAACCTGACAGAATTGAAAGGAGAAATGGATAGTACTACAACAGTAGTTGGAGACTTCAGATATCTCACTTATAGTAATAGAAAGAACAACCAGATAGAGGATAAGTAAAGAAATAGGGAACTTAAACAATACAATAAACTATTTACATCTAAATGACACACAGAACACTTTACCCAACAACCACAGAATACACACTCTTCTCAAGTGCACATGGACATTTCAAGTACAGACCATATGTTGGGCCGCATATTAAATCTTAATACATTTAAAAAGAAACTTACAAAGTATCTTCTACAAATACAGTGTCAAGAAGTTAGAAATCAATAATGTTAGAAACCAAAAAATTCAGAAAATTTAGGAAATTAAACGACACAGTTATTTATTTTTATTTTTAAAATATATTTTAATTGATTTTTTTACAGAGAGTAAGGGATAGGGATAGAGAGTTAGAAACATCAATGAGAGAAAAACATTGATCAGCTGCCTCCTGCACACTCCCCACTGGTTATGTGTCCACAAAGATACATGCCCTTGACCGGAATCAAACCTGGGACCCTTCAGTCCACAGGCTGACGCTCTGTCCACTGAGCCAAACTGGCTAGGGCTAAACAACACACTTTTAAACAAATGGTTTAAAGAAGAAATCACAAGGAAAGTTATAAAATGGGAACACAACATACCAAAACTTAGGAGATGTATAATAGCAAAAGTGGTGCTAAGGGGGACACTGATAGCTCAAAATGCTAACATTAAGAAACAAGAAAGATCTTAAATCAACCATCTAACTTTTCAACTTAAGGATGTAGAAAATGCAGAAGATGCCCTAGCTGGTTTGGTTTAGTGGATAGAGTGTCTGCCTGTGGACTGAAGGGTCCCAGGTTAGAGTCTGGTTAAGGGCATGTACCTTGGTTGTGGGCACATCCCCAGTAGGGAATGTCCAGGAGGCAGCTGATCTGTTTCTCTCTCATCGATGTTTCTAACTCTCTATCCCTCTCCCTTCTAATCTGTAAAAAATCAATAAAATAGAAAAAAATAGCAAACATTAAAAAAAGAGAGACTTAAGGGACATTAACTAATTACAGTGTGAACCTTATAAGCAAACTGTAAAAAAAAAAATGCTATTGAGAAACATGAGGTTAAATAAAAGAAAAAGATTACCATGTTCTTAGACAGGCATGCTCAACATTATAAAAATGTCATTTCCACTAAACTTACCTGTAAGTTTAATGTTATTTCTAGAATCTGCTAACATTATATATATAACTTTTTTAATTACAGTTGTCGCAGAAAAAATTCCCTAAGGTGGTCCAATATTTTCCACCAATAATGGTGCCTTCTTGGGTGTCACATTCATTCCTCTTAAATTTCTTTGATAATGCACTGCTTATTGCATCTCAGTTATCTGATAAGTGAGTTAGATATGCTCTCATTTCTTTGTTTTGATTTTCCTAGTAACTATGATTGAAGTTTTACCAAAGGAAAAGAAACAGAAAGATGAGAAGATCTTAGTCCTTGGTCAAGCTGTGGTGGACCTTCTTCCTTTAGTGGAAGGTGAGGTGTATGATTTCCTCAAAAGCATGAATAACAAGCTTCATAAAATTTAACTCCAGTGAAATGCAAAAAATCAGCCTCATTGAATTTGAGGGGTTTGATGAAAAGATGAGCACATTTATCTTTGCCTACCCTTCCTTTTTTGGCTTGACTTAGTCTTTTTTTTTTTTTTTTTTTTTTTTCAGGAGAAATTTCATTTGAAACAGCCATCCCGCTGCACCCTGTTCCAGGCTCTCCCCTTGAGCCTCTTCAGCCAGGTGTTAAGGTAATCAGATTTTAACTGTCGACGTTTCAGCCTGCCATTCAGTCTAACAAATCTGTCTGGTATTAAGGTTCAATTCAGTTGAGTCCAAATTATCAGGCACCTTCTTTTTACAGGCACACATAGTGCTAGGTTCTGGGAAACAAAGATAAATAAGGCAGAGTCCTAGTGTAGGAGTCCATAATTCATATATTATTGATTTTAACCTGTTGTGATTAAATGGTGGACCAAGGCACCTGGGCACAGACTAGGTATCAGGTACTTTGCCAAGGTACCTAAGGTAGATGTAGGGAAGGCTTAACCATGGAAATGCCTCTTGAGCTATGTCTTGATGGATTAAATAGTACATGAATGCAGGTAACATTCTTCATGGCATGGTAGCCTGCCTCTGGCTATTGGAGTAGGGGAAGCATGGATTGGTAGGATGTGTCATTGGTTTGTCTTGACTGTGTTTCCCATTCCCCCAGGGGATCAGCAGCCTCTGGGGGCACTGTTTGCCATTCTGGTGCTGGTGCACCACTCTCAGCAGATACTACAGCTGCTGTTTTGACAGCTAAAGGAGAAAGGAGGGCCCAGCTGATCCAACTATTCTGACTGCACTTCTCCAGTTAACCACCACTATAGGTCCCTTTCTCTTCTTATTGATTCTAACCTTGGAGCTGCCACAATCCACTCCTGTATCTGCTATGGTCTTCTTATTTTAGGATGTGATTAATTTCTTCTTCTTCTCCTTCTCCTCCTCCTCCTCCTCCTTCTCCTCCTCCTTGTCCTCCTCCTCCTCCTCCTCCTTCTCTTTTTTCTTATTGTGTGTGTGTGTGTGTGTGTGTGTGTATTTGTTTTTAGATCTGATTTAATTTGATTTCTATCTTTCAATGATTCTTAAAAACATATAGTTTAGTGATGGCATTTCTTTTTTTTTTAAATATATTTTTTATTGATTTCAGAGAGAAGGGGAGAGGGAGGGAGAGAGAGATAGAAACATCAATGATGAGAGAGAATCATTAATTGGGTACCTCCTGCACATCCCCCACTGGAATCAAGCCCACAACCTGGACATGTGCCCTTGTCTGGAATCAAACCCAAAACCCTTCAGACCACAGGCTCTATCCACTGGGCCAAACCAGCTAGGGCTGATGGCATTTCTTGTTTTTTGGGATTATTATAACACCAGAGGCGGAGAGCACGGAATTCATGCACTCGGGGGGCGGGGTGTCCTTCAGCCTGGCCTGCGCCTCTTGCAGTCCAGGAGCCATTGGGGGATGTCTGACTGCCGTGGAGGCGGGAGAGGCTCCTGCCACTGCTGCTGCGCTCCTCAGCCGTGAGTCCAGCTTCTGGCTGAGCAGTGCTCCCCTGTGGGAGAGTACTAACCGCCAGGGGGGAACTCCTGCATTGAGTGTCTGCCCTCTGGTGGTCAGTGCATGTCACAGTGACTGGTGGTTCTGCTATCAGTCCAAAACCAGCTCTCAGACATCACTGAAGGGGTCCTGGATTGTGAGAGGGCACAGGGCAGGCCTAAGGACCCCAACAGAGCACAACCAGGCTGGGAAGGGACAGGAAGTTGGCAAGCCGGGGAGGGACTGCTGGAGGGCTCCAGGTAGTCAGTGCATGTCATAGCAACTGGTCGACTGGTCCATTGTCTGCCCCCTGGTGGTCAGTGCATATTATAGAGAGGGGTTGACTGGCCATAGCATATCATTAGAATATCATTAGCATATTATGCTTTGATTGGTTGAAAGGCTGACTGGACGACCAGACACTTAGCATATTAGGCTTATAGTGTCCTATTAATAAAAGTCTATGTGGTCATGACACCCTCGTGCTATAACAAGTGAAAACTAGGAGGCTGCATGCGCAACAGGTGCACACAGGTGGGCGGGGGCTTGACGCTGCATGTGTGGTGTGGAGGTGGGTGCAGCGGCTCTGGCCTATAGGGCCTACCTCTTTACTTCTTTGGAGGGATCGATCGTGGGGGCTCCTGCACTGTGAGAGGGTACAGGCCAGGCTGGGGGACACCCCCTCCCCCTCCAGTGCACAAACTTTATGCACTGGGCCTCTATTATAGGATAATTGCTCAACTGAAACATTACAAGTAGCCTTGTAACTGCCCTTACTTCCCTCTAGTTCAGCCTTCCCACTCCTTGCAGAGTGATTTAAAAGTGAACATGATCACATCTTTTCCCTAGCTTAGCTCTGTGCAGTTCATAGATTCACCCACTGCTTCTATGTTAAGGTCCGGATTCCTTGGCAGGCTATTTATTTATTTATTTTAAAATATATTTTATTGATTTTTTACAGAGAGGAAGGGAAAGAGATAGAGAGTTAAAACATTGATGAGAAAGAAACATCGACCAGCCGCCTATAGCACATCCCCCCACTGGGTATGTGCCTGCAACCAAGATACATGCCCTTGACGGGAATCGAACCTAGAATCTTTCAGTCTGCAGGCCGACGCTCTATCCACTGAGCCAAACCGGTTTCAGCTCCTTAGCAGGCTTTATGATAGGAGCCTGCCACTTGTTTAATCTCATTTCTCAGCACTCTCCTCCTTGTACTTTATATTCTAAAATTCGAACTGCTTACTTACACCTGACGTGAGTACAGCATGCTGTTTCAACATCACTTCACACAGAACTCTTCCTTTTGTTCGGGGTTATTTTCTCTTTTCTTCCTGTGCTTATCGAGATTCTGAATTCCTGTTCATCTTGTCAAAGTTAATTCAGATGTTACCATCTCTTACTCCTCCCCAACCCAATAATTAATTATTCACTTCCTCATTGGGCATTTTGTACAGGTCTTTATCATAAATCATGGAATTATAGCATGAATTCCATGATGAATGAGGATGTCTTCATCTTTATATTTCTAGTGCTATAATAAAGTGTCTGACATGTAAGTACACATTTTAAACCTACTTTTTATTGTATACTATATAAAAATATCACATATTCATATATGTCTTTATCTTCATATGGATATATCCATATATATTTGAAAAAATAGTTCTTATTAAAAAGCACTACATTTACCAAATCAGAAGTTCTATTGGATAAATAATTTGGTAATTTCCCATTAGCATAAAAAATAAATTCTTTAATAATAATATTAGTTGTTCTTATTAATATTGACTTCTAAGAAATAAAATGAAAATGAACAAATTCTTGCCTCTTCTCTGTTTTGTTTTGTTTTTTAAAAAACACTAGTTGTCTTGACTGCCCTACTTGGGTACATTATTAATGTCTAATTCTTGGCAGCCCCTCTAAAAAAATTCATTCATTTTGCTTACTCGTGCTGCCAAAAAACACTTTTTTTATATTTGAAAAATATCAATATATTAAAGAATATAATTTTCAAATATTTCATAAAACAAAGTTTTTTTTAAAGCACTACATTTGAATTATAGAATAAACATAAAATATAGACTAGCAAAAAAAAGTACCCCAGTCTCACTCACTCATGTGCAAACACTATTAACATTTCAGTATAGAACCTTCCAATTCCTTTTCTGTATGTATTTGTATACATACTTGACCTGAGCATGGTAGAAGGGAAGCACTCTAGCTTAGTTCTTTCCTTGGCTCTATCTCTGTCCAAATAACTAGAGAAAGTTATTTGAATCCTCTGTATGAAATAAACTTGACCATTGTTACCTTGAACAGTGATATAATATTCAAAGGAGATAAAAGGTCTCTGGCATTTTCAAAATGTTGCATAATTTTATTTTTGACAACAGTGTAGTCTTTCTGTATTTTAGTTTTAATTCCAGTTTGTTCCTGGGAGCTTGCCTGTGCAGCATCCACTGACTCTTCTGCCATTTTTATTCTCATCTCCAGCTGTGCTGTCTTGAAGTTAAAGTATCTGTGCCAGAGCAATTATTGACGGCAGCACAGATATCAGGAGGAAATCTGCTAAAGGTCACATTGGAGGCTGCCTACTCTGTGCCTGAATCCTTCGTGCCAATAGGGCCTGTGCAGAACTATATCGTTGGTCTGCAAGTTCCATCAACTGCAGAGGTAAAGCCCTATAGCTACATATTTATATACTAGAGGCCCAATGCATGAAATTTGTGCACGGGGGAGGGGGTGTCCCTCAGCCCAACCTGTACCCTTTCAATGTGGAAGCCCTTGGGGGATAGCCAACTGACAACTGGACATCCCTCTCACAATCCGGGACCTCTGGTTCCTAACCACTCACCTGCCTGCCTGCTCTAACCACTGTGCCTGCTGGCCTGATTCCCCTAACTGCTTTCCCCTGCTGGCCTGATCTCCCTAACTGTCCTCCCCTGCTGGCCTAATCACCCCTAACTGCCCTTCCCTGCCAGCCTTGTCACCCCTATTAACTTTTTTTTAAAAAAATCTTATCCCCTTCATACACAACTGTATTTGACTTCCTTATTGGCTTCTCCCTCTCATACAGTTTTTCTCTCTACTTTATGTGCCACTGTTTCCTACTGACTCATCATTTATAAACTTTTCTTTCCTCCTATTTCCTACTTCTGTCCATCATCCTTCTTCCCATCTTTCTCCTACCTCCCCCCCCCCACATTCCTTCTTTCCTTTATCTTTATCCCTCCTCTCCCTCCCCTTTTTCTTCCTTCCCACCTTAATTTTTTTTTTCACTTCCTCCCTTGGACCTGCTTTGCTCCCTGCTCCATTTCTTCCTTCTTTCCATTCTCCTTTTAAGTTCTACTGGCTCCCCTTTAAAACTTTTCTTACCTCCTCCTTTCTCTCTCATCCTACCATTCCCATAAACTCTTCTCTACTTAATTCCACTGTTTTAATATCTATCTATCTACCTGCCTAATTATTCACTATCATTTATCTTTTTTTTTTTCTGACTCCTACTTTTAAAATCTGCCCCCAGTACACAACTGTACTTGATTTTCATTATAGCTCCTACAGTACACTCATACATCTTCTTTCCTTCTTTAACTCTGTTCTCTACTGACTCGTCTATAAAGTTCTTCCCTCCCTCCTTCACTTCTTCCCCACCTCCTCACTCCTCCTTTACTCTTCTACTCTTTTTACAGGCTAATTAAAAATTCTATGCTTTTCTCTCTGGGACCTGTAGCTACCTCTGTGCACTCGGGCCCCTCTCGCACTGGCTTTGAGGGGCTGAGTGATGAAGCAGCTGTGTCTTACCTCTGAGTTGGGGGAGGGTCCAGCTGGCCTGGGCCGGCATGCATCCATCTCGGGGACCACAGCTTTACGTGCACGCATGAGCATTCATGGGCGCGTGAGTCTTTTCTCCTGTTGAGTGCTGAAGGGGTGGAAGCGGAGGTGGAAGGGAGGCCTTTCCCACCCCGCAGCGTGCCCACTCCCATGCCTGGAGTGGCTTGTCATCCACTCCCTTCCAGAGTTCACAGCGACAGGCTTGCTTGCGCAGGCACGGTTGGGCCCGGCTTGTCCTGGGGGGAGGGGGAAAGGGAGAGGGACATTCCACCCAGGATGTGAACCCCGGTCTGGGTTGGTCTGGGTTGGACCGGGCAGATGAATGAATGGACAGCTGTGGTGTGAAGGTCGTCTGTGCACTCTCTGTTGTTGTGCCCAGGCCCTTCCTTCTGATGTTGGGTCCACACCCTCTCGATTTGCATGCGGACACCTCCCAGGGTCACTGTTGATGCATGCCCCTTCCCCCACACACACACCTTTCAGGTGTCGCCCCTCAGCTACCCCCACCTCAGGGGGAAGTTGGTGGCATCCTGGGCAGAGTGCTCTCGGACAGGGCACGGTGTCACGGGGGTGTTTGTTGTGCACCAGGAGAAAAAGAGGACTTGGGACTTGTGTGAGGCAGGAAAGCGAGCCTCACACAAGTCCCCCTGCTGCATGTGAACTTGCTGGTCTGTCAATATGCAAATTGGTCATTACTGTGACACTAACGGACAATTTGCATATTACCTCTTTATTATATAGATATTTAAACTCTCATATGGGCATCTCTTCTTCACCTGCTAAGATTTCATTCAAAGCAAGCTCTGCTAATGGCTGAGATTTATGTTAGGCTTAAAAAATAAAGTTTACTTCTGTTTTATAAATAGATGTTTATGTTTATAACATATATTTAATATAGTATAGATTATATATAATTTATATCAATAAATACTTTATGATGGAAAATATGTAAAAATATCTTTAAATTGACAACTTTTGGATGTATTTCTATACAGATTACCTTATGCATATGTTTTGTGGATTTTGTATAATGTACTTTATATAAAAACTCCCTCTTGCCCTGGCCAGTGTGGCTCAGTTGGTTGGAATACCATCCTGCACACTTGACAAGTCACAGGTTTAATTCCCCTCAGGGCACATACCCAGGTTGCCGGGTTGATCATTGGTCAGGGATGGGGCAGGAGGCAACTAATCTCTGTTCACTCACACATCAGTGGTTCATTCACTCTCTCCTGTCTTCACTCTCTAACGTCAAAAGCATGTCATCAGTGAGAATTAAAAAAAAAAACAACTTTCCCTTAATTTCAGATTATTTTCTTAGTCCAAATTTCTATAGAATGATTATGTATGGATCTTTTGAGGCTCTTGATAGAGATTTCCAAACTGCTCACTAAAAGGATGTAATTAGTTAATACTCCTACCTGTTGTATTGCCACTTTAAATTTTCAGTAAAGAATCCTCCATTTCCTCTTTAGCATTTTACATCCTATCTGCTGTGCACAAAGTTCCAATTTCTCCACATCCTTGCTAACACTTATTTTCTGTTTGTTTTTAATAAAAGACAGTGTCACAGGTGTGGAGTAGCATCTCCTTGAAGTTTTGATTTGCATTTCCAAATGACTAATGATTTTGAACATCTTTTCATGTGCTTAATGGCCATTTGTATTTTTTTGGTGGTCGGGGGGATTTATATTCAAGTCCTTTGTCCATTCTTGAATCATTTTTGTTCTTGTTGAGTTTGGAGTTCTCTGTATATTTTAACTATTCATCCCTCATCAGGTATGTAATTTGCAAATATTTTCTCCCACTCTATGGGTTATCTTTTTTACTCTGTTGTATCTTTTTTATTTTATTAAACATATTACTGTGACATTGGTTAATAGGGTCATATTACGTTTCAAGTGTACATTTCTATAATACATGCTTTGCATATTGCATTGTGTGCCCACAAACCAAAATCAAATCATCTTCTGTCACCATATATTTGACTCCTTTACCTAATACTACCTCCTCAGCCTCTTCCCTCTTGTAGCCATCATACTGTTGTCAATCTGTGTTTATGAGTTTCAGTTTTATATCCCACACATAAATGAAAGCATATGGTTCTTAGCTTGTTCTGACTTATTATTTATTTATTTATTTATTTATGTATTTATTGTTAAAAATATATTTTATTGATTTTTTACAGAGAGGAAGGGAGAGAAGGATAAAGAGTTAGAAACATTGATGAGAGAGAAACATTGACTAGCTGCCTCTTGCACACCCCCTACCAGGGATGTGCCCGCAACCAATGTACATGCCCTTGACCAGAATCAAACCCGGGACCTTTCAGTCCACAGACCGACGCTCTATCCACTGAGCCAAACCAGTTTTGGCTGTCTTATTATTATTATTATTTTTTTTTAAAATATATATTTTATTGATTTTACACAGAGAGGAATTGAGAGGTACAGAGAGTTAGAAACGTCGATGAGAGAGAAATATCGACCAGCCGCCTCCTGCACACCCCCCACAGGGGATGTGCCCGCAACCAAGGTACATGCCCTTGACCGGAATCGAACCTGGACCTTGCAGTCCGCAGGCCAACGCTCTTTGATGTCTTTTTGTTGTTCATAGTTTTTACCTTTACCTTTTTCTTCTTCTTCCTCTTCTTAAAGAATATCATGTAATCCTGGTTTGGTGGTGATAAACTCCTTTAGCTTTATCTTGTCTGTAAAGCTCTTTATCTGACCTACAATTCTGAATAATAGCTTTGCTGGGTAGAGTAATCTTGGTTGTAGGTTCTTGCTATTCATCACTTTGAATATTTCTTGCCACTCCCTTCTGGCCTGCATAGTTTCTGTTGAGAAATCAGTTGAAAATCATATAGGTACACCCTCGTAGGTAACTAACTGTTTTTCTCTTGCTGCTTTCAAGATTCTCTCTTCGTCTATTGCTCTTGGCATTTTAATTATGATGTGTCTTGGTGTGGTCATCTTTGGATTCCTCTTGTTTATGCACTTCCTGGTCTTATAAGTCTATTTCTTTCACCAGTTAGAAAAAGTTTTCTGTCATTAGTTCTTTCAATAGGCCTTCAATGTTCTGCTTTATCTCTTCTTCTGGCACCCTAAAAATCTGGATGTTGGCACACTTAAAGCCGTCCCAGAGGCTCCTTACACTATCCTCACACTTTTGGATTCTGCTTTCTTTCTGCCACTCTGGTTGGGTGTTTTTTGTTTCCTCATATTCCAGATCTTTGGTTTGAGTCTTGGGGTATGTTGATCTACAGTTGAGTTTCTGTATATTCTTTATTTCAGACAGTGTATGCTTAATTTCTAACTGGTCCTTTTCCTTTTTTTTTTTTTTTTTTTTTTTTTTTTTTGTATTCTCATTAAGGTCCTTGAAGGTCTTTTCAAGTTTCTCAGTGATTTTTAGAAGATTCTTGAGTAATTTTATAAATGTGATTCTGAACTCTGTTGTCCAGTAGTTTACTTTCCTCCATCTATCCCATCCGTGGCATGCTTCTGTGTCTCTGCATTTTGGTTGCCTCCTGTATTGATGGAGTGACTTTGTGTGGTAGGTGACCTATAGGGGCCATTACCTCAGCTTCCCCAATCACCTGAGGTGGTTGCTCTTAGTACACTCCTTTGTAGGCTTAGTGCAAAGTCTTGGGCTAGTTAAGCCTTGATTGCCATTGGTGCACTGGGAGGAATTGACCTCCAGGCCAATTATCTGTGAGGACCCGCTGTGTCTATAATGGAAGAACTGCTGCACTGGAGACACACTTATGATGCAGGCCTTGTTTCAGTGAGGCTTTGGTGCTCATTGAGTCCGCCTCCTGAATGTGACACTTATAAATGTGAGGAGTTGAAATCTGGTGTCTCACATTGACCACTAGGTACACTGGCTTCTAGATCTCCAATGGAGTGCAGTTCAGCTACTGCCTGAGGCCACCCTGCAGGACCTACAGTGAGAACCAAGGTCCTCTCCTCCCTGCTTGGAGCCTGGAGGCTTTGGTGCTATCTGTACCAGGTTACAAGTTTGCTAGGTTAAACTGCAATAGAGAAGGCCATCCATATGCAAAAGCCGCTGCTTGGAACTTGGTTGTGTTTGTAGATTGTGCTGGGCGGAGTCTCAGGGTAGAGTCTCAGGGTGTCACTAGGCCAGGGCATGGCAAACAGTGATGGCTGCCTGTCAGCAATCTCTGCCTCTCTGACTGTGTCCCCATGTCTCGCGCCCCCATGTCTCGTGCCCCAGCACAGCAAACAATTATTATTGCCACAGCTCTGCAAGCAAGCCGCCCTCACTTTCCAACCCGATGGCCGACAGTCCAGCTTCTTTCCAGAAACTAGATTTCAGAGACATTGGGAGCTTGTCTCAAGCTCCCAATGTCTCTCATTGGGTTGAAGAAAGCAATGCCCTTCACCAGCCGAGATCCGCCTCCTGCCTGTATCGCGCATGTGTCCTTGTACCTCAGTTTTTCAGCGCTTGTGCCCTGAATGCTCCTTTTTCTTTCAGTCTAGTTGTAGAGTTCTTTCAGCCAGCTTCCCGTAGTTCTGGGTAGTTTTGGAATTATTGTGCACGGCAGCAGTTTAGGTGTGTTTACCTATGTTGCCATCTTGGATCCTCTCTGTCTTATTTTGTTTGGCACATATTGTCAAGGTCCATCCATGTTGTTGCAATAGGCAATATTTCATCTTATGGCTGAGTAGTATTCCACAGTATATATGTACCATATCTTCTTTATTCAATTGTCTATTGAAGGGCACTTTGTCTACATGTCTTAGTCACTGTGACTAATACCGTGTTTCCTTGAAAATAAGACATCCTCCGAAAATAAGACCTAGCACATGGAAAGATAAGACATCCCCTGAAAATAAGACCTAGCGCAACTTTGTGAGAAAAAATTAATATAAGATACTGTCTTATTTTCGGGGAAACAGGGTACTACAATGAACATAAAGGTGCATAAATCTTTGCAAATAAATATTTTCTAGTTTTTTGGGTAGATATCCAGAAGAGGTATTCCTGGGTCATATGGTAACTCTATTCTTAATTTTTCGAGGAACTACCATACTGTTTTTCATAGTGGCTGTGCTAGTTTACATTCCCATCTGCAATAAGTGAGAGTTTCTTTTTCTCCAACACTTGTTATTACCTGTGTTGTTGATAATAGCCATTCTAATAGATGTGACGTGGTATTTCATTGTAGTTTTGATTTTCTATTTACATCTTTACTAATTTCCTATTGCAAATATATTTTAGATAAATTATAAATATCTAAATTGTAGGTCTTTGTCAAATTTAAGTTTGTTTTTTAAAAGATAATTTTTAAAAAGCTACAACATAACCCTTATCTGTATAAAAGCCTAAACTACTGAACGACCAGTTGCTATGATGGCAAGAGCTGCCCTCTGGTGGTCATTGTGCTTCCACAGCCAACCTCCTGTGTTCCCTCCACTCAGCTGGCCCAGATCAGCCCTGATCAGGACTGGGCAAGATGGCCCTGGTTGGCCTTGATCGCTGGCCAGGCTGAGGAACCCCAACTGTGCACGAATTCTAAACACTTAGTCTCTAATATAAATATAAAATGACAAAAAGATTTTAAATCAGTTCAAAGGAGAATCTGAAGAAATGACCCATATATAAGCAATCAGGACTATTGAAATGAAGTTTTTTCCTTTATTGAGTTTTAAAGAGAGGAAGGCAGAGGGATAGAGAGTTAGAAACATTGCAGAGAGAGAAACATCACTGATCAGCTACCTCCTGCACACCCCCTCTTGGGGATTGAGCCTACAACCTGGGCATGTGTCCTGATGGAGAATCGAACCTCTTGGTTCCTGGATCCATGTTCATTCTCTGAACGACACTGGCTGGGTGGAATAAATCTGTTAATAATTCAAACCTTGTTACCAGCCACAGGGCAATAATCAGTTACATCTCCACTGGACAAAGTACATTTGCATATCTATGGACAAAAATATTTTGGGTTATCATGAATTTTTAATAAATGACAAAATTATAACATAGCACAAAGACAATGAAGGGCAGAGGCCCTTCTACAGAATCAGATAATTACAGAAGGGTCTGTTAGATAATACCCAGCATTGCATTGAAAAGACACTTCAACCCTTGACTAGTGTGGCTAAGTTGTTAGAGCATCAACCTGCACAACAAATGGGCTCAGGTTTGATTTCTGGTCAAGGCCAGGTACCTGGGTTGCAGATTCAGTCCCTGGCACTGATTGAGGCTCATGAGGGAGTTAACCAATTGATGTGTCTGCCTCACCTTGAAGTTTCCATGTCTCTCCCCATCCCTTCCACTTTCTCTAAAAATCAATGGAAAAAAAATATCCTTGGGGGAGGATTAACAAAAACAATAATGACATTTCATTAATCCATTTTGTTCATTCCAAAGTCTTTTACAAAAATCTCCTAATGTATGGTATTTACTTCTTCAGAAAGACTATCCTATTATCTTCAAGAATGGAACTCTGAAGCTTGGAGGGGAAAGAGAACCTACTCCCCGGCCCAAAAAATGGCCCATTTCGAACATTCTGGCCCCTGGAGCTAATAACATTCCCGATGCCTTCATCTTTGGTGGGCCCTATGAGGAAGAAGATGGAGAACTCAACCACGCTGAGGTGAAAGAGTTATTCAGCTTTTTTGTGATAAATGCAGTATGACATAACATAAAATGTTTTGTGAATCAATATAATTAATTTGCATTATTACCCGTTAAAATAGAACAATTATATGCCAAAATAATATAGTTATCACCCTAGCTAGTTTGGCTCAGGTAGTAGTGTCTGTTTGTGAACTAAAGGGTCACGGGTTCAATTTCAGTCAAGGGCACATACCTCAATTGCAGTCTCTATCCCCAGCCTCTGAGAAACAACCAATCGATGTTTCTATCTCTCTTTGTCTCACCCTTTCCCTTCCATACACTCTAAAAATCAATGGAAAAATATTCTCAGGTGAGGATTAGCACAACACAAATAATAGTTATCTAATTCTAACTTAAAAGTCTCCTAATATCCTAAGTCCAGCAAACAAAAAACAAAATAATTGAATTAATTCAAATTTACTCTTTATTTTGTTATAATATATATAATATATATGTTATAATATATATATTAAAGTAGATAATAATATAGTCACAATTCAAAATAAAAAATTAAGAAATATGCTGTTAAAGCCTTCCTCCTTCCTCCTATTTCTTTCCTAGATCATCACCTAGTAGCCATCTTTTTATAGTTTTTTACAGTTTCAGTGATATAATTTGTAAGATAAGGATGGTTGAATTACTTTCAATATCTGACACAAAATATTTTAAATAGTAGAGATAAGACTAAAATATTTGAAAAACATTGTGCAGTTTCTTTTCTCACTATTGTGATCATTGGAAATTCATATTATTCTTAGATTTATATTTTCATTTAGAGCAGACATTTTATTTTAGATATTTAGATTTTATATTAAACTAGAGGCCCGGTGCACAAAATTCGTGTCCAACCCTCAGCTCAGCCTGCACCCTATCCAATCTGGGATCCCTCTCAAAATCCAGGACTCCTGGCTACCAACCACTTGCCAGCCTGACTACCTTATTGCCCCTAACCACTTCTGCCTGTCAGCCTGCTCACACCCTCACCACTCCCCTGCCAGCCTGATTGACACCTAACTGCTCCCCTGATTGCCCCTAATTGCCCTCCCCTAATGGCCTGGTCACCCCTACTGTCTTCCCCTGCAAGGCATGTCCTCCCCAGCTGCCCTTCCCTGCAGGCCTCGTTATCCCCAACTGTCCTCCCCTGCAGGCCTGGTCCCTCCCAATTGCCCTCCCCTGCTGGCCTGATCACCCACAACTGCCCTCCCCTGCTGGCCATCTTGTGTCCACCTGGGGACAGCCATCTTTGACCACATGGGGTTGGCCATCTTGTGTCCACGTGGGGGCAGTCATCTTGTGTGTTGGAGTGATGGTCAATTTGCATATCACCTTTTTATTATATAGGATTAAATAGGATCTTAGTTTAAATCATTAATTCTCAACCCTTGTTACTCATTAGAATCACCTGAAAAACTTTTAAAACAATAGCAATGGACAAGCCGAAAACAGTTTGGCTCAGTGGATAGAGCGTCTCTGCAGACTGAAATGTCCCAGGTTCGATTCCGGTCAAGGGCATGTACATTGGTTGCAGACACCACCCCAGTAAGGGGTGTGCAAGAGGCAGCTGATCAATGTCTCTCTCTCATCGATGTTTCTAGCTCTCTATCCCTCTCCCTTCCTCTCTGTAAAAAATCAATAAAATATATTAAAAAAACAACAACAATGGCCAAACCTTAACACAGATCAATTACATAAGAATTTAACTTTTAATATAATACCAATGTCCAGATGTTGATTATTTTTTTAAAGACACTCTCAAATAATTCTAACATGTGTTCAGGGTTAAGAATCACTGATTGAGGTTATGTGAATCAGTACTGGATCGATATAAGGATAATAGAAGTAATTTATTTTATGTACTTTAGTAATAGTAAAGCACCCCAAAATTTAAGGTCGTGTAGTATCTACAGTTGTAGGTGCACTTATGGTAATAGTAGTAGTAGTAAAAGTATTGTGATCAAATTCACTAAAAGAATGTCCCACTAATTGAGCAAGATGAAACTAAGGCACATTGAGAGAATGAGAGTCTCTATCTTACTATTTTACAGGACAGGGAAATGCGGAACCAAGCAGAGAGCGTAAAGAAAAGGATTACTTGGGACTTGGAAAGTCGTTGCTATCTTGATCCTCTTGCAGTGGTCAGGTAAGAAGAGGAAGGGAATCTAAACAGCAAAGACTGTAAGTGGGAAGAAATGTTGCTTTTGTTAAGGTGATCTGAGACTCTTTCATCGCATCTGCTAATAACAGAGGCTTCTAATGAGGGTGAGTTAACAAAGGTAGGTTCTTATTTCCCTTTCAGATAAAAGAACTTCAGAATTGGTATGTAGGATTGGCTCCTCAGTGTTATGAGGTATCTAGGCTCACTGTGTCTTTTTGCTCTAACTTCCTTAGCATGTGCTTCCCACCACAGGGTTGTCTCATGGTCCAGAATGGCTGTTTGAGTGCCAGTCTACACATTCCCATTCCTGACAGAATATTGGAAGAGGAGGGTAGTGGTTATCGATAAAAAAAGGATGCATGCCAGCTGTCTTAGCCCTTCTTATGGAACCTTCCTGGAATCTGACAACCCCTGTTTATTTCTCATTGGTCACCTTTCGATGCAAAAGAGGCTAGGAAATAAGTTGATATTGTATGGGTAACTATTGATATTGTATGGGTAACTATTAGTCTGATATAGTAACCTGGCAATCAGGGGAAGATGAGAAATAGAGGATTATTAATATATTTATAATCTGAATGAACTACCATTTTATTCTATTTTCAATTAATATATTATTTTTAGAATTACAGAAAAAATGAGCAGACATTTTAGAGTGTTCCAGTATACCTCTAGTTCCTCACTTGATCGAATATATAAATAAATATACATTGTTGGATTTGATTTGCTGATATTTTAAGACAACACTGTTCCTCTTATTACTTTGAACAAACGATTACCAACTTGATCAATTAAAAATAAAATAAAATTAAATTAAAAAGAAATTGACTGACTGGTATTGCTCAGTGGTTGGAGGGTTGCAGGTCTGATCCCCAGCCCTTGTTGGGGTGCATGCAGGAGGCAGCCAATATATGTGTCTCTCTATTTCTCTCTCTCTTTTTCTTCATCCCTTCCCTCCTCTCCCCCCCCCCTCCCTCCTTCTCTCTCTGAAAAAATCAATGGGAAATATATCCTCAGGTGAGCTTGAGAGGGATAGAGAGTTAGAAACATCGATGAGAGTCATCAATCAGCTGCCTCTTGCACACCCCCCACTGGAGATGTGCCCACAACCAAGGGACATGCCCTTGACCGGAATCAAACCCGGGACCTTTCAGTCCGCAGGCCGACACTCTATCCACTGAGCCAAACCGGTTTCGGCTAATCATAGTTATTTTAAATTCCCTATTTGTATCATAATTCCAAGATCTGTGTCATATCTGAGAATAGTTCTTATGCTAGCTTTATTTTTCTTGCCTTTTAGGATTCCATGTAATTTTTCTTGCCTTTTAGGATTCCATGTAATTTTTCTTGCCTTTTAGGATTCCATGTAATTTTTCTTGCCTTTTAGGATTCCATGTAATTTTTAATTTAATTTTTTTGAAGTTCATGAGCATGATAATTTATTGACAGCACTCTTTTTGTTTTGTTTTTATAAATATTGTTGAAAGCATTAAATATGTCTCCTTTTGCTCCCATTAACCCCCTCTAGCCCACTCTCACCCCCCACTCCAGGCCTTATCATCCTATTGTCTGTGTCCATGGGTTCTGCATATATGCATGCAAGGTCTTTGATTGTTTACCTCCCACCCACCCACCCACCCTCCCAGATACCTCACTCTGTTCCATGCTTCCATTTCTCTGGATCCATTCCATTCATTAGTTTATTTTGTTAATTAGATTTCACATGTGAATGAGATCATGTGATACTTGTCTTTCTCTAACTGACTTATTTCGCTTAGCATGATACTCTCCAGGACCCTCCATGCTGTCTCAAAGGGTAAGAGATTCTTCTTTTACTGCTGCACAGTATTCCATGGTATAAATATACCACAGATTTTTTATCTACTCATCTGCTGATGGGCACTTGGGCTGTTTCCAGATCTTAGCTATTGTAGATTATGCTGCTATGAACATAGGTGTGCATACATTCTTCCTGATTGGTATTTCAGGTTTCTTAGGATATATTCCTAGAAGTGGGGTCATTGGGTCAAATGGCAGATCCATATTTTTTTAAAATATATTTTTATTGATTTTAGAAAGGAAGGAAGAGGGAGAGAGAGTTTGAAACATCAATGATGAGAATCATTAATCGGCTGCCTCCTGCCCGCGCCCCACTGGGGACCAAGCCCACAACCCAGGCATGTGCCCTTGGCTGGAATTGAACTCGAAACCCTTCAGTCCCCAGGTGAACACTCCACCCACTGAGCCAAACCAGCCAGTGTCATATTTAATTTTTGAGGAAACTTCATACTGGTTTTTTTTTGTTTGTTTGTTTTTTATATATATATTATTGGTTTTGTACAGAGAGGAAGGGAGAGAGATAGAGAGCCAGAAACGTCGATGAGAGAGGAACATCGACCAGCCACCTCCTGCACAACCCCCACCGGGGATGTGCCCACAGCCAATGTACATGCCCTTTACCGGAATCCAACCCGGGACCTTTCAGTCCACAGTCCGACGCTCTACCACTGAGCCAAACCGGTTTCGGCTTCATACTGTTTTTCACAGTGGCTGCACCAGTCCTCATTCTCACAAGCAGTGTACGAGGGTTTCCTTTCCCCCTCGTCCTAGTCAGTACTTGTCATTTGTTGATTTGTTGATGGTAGCCATTTTGACAGGTGTGAGGTGATACCTTGTTGTCAATTTAATTTACATCTCTTTGATGATTAGTGACTTTGAGCATTTTTTCATGTCTCTTGGCCATTTGCATGTCTACTTTGAAGAAGTGTCTATGTAGTTCCTTTGCCCATTTTAAAATTATTTAATGACAGTATTCTTGATCTTGTAATTTTTTATTGAAAGCTGGACTTTACAAACTGAGTAATATTTTTTGGTAATTAGGTTTTTTAATGTGTGATTTTATGTTAATAAAGCTTAATGTTTGCTCTAGTTGTAGGTGCTAAAGGCTTCAGGTTCCTTTCTTTTTGTTCTTCTGTTGTCTGTGGGTTGGCCTAAGAACTCTTTCTTAGATAGGCTCTCTGTTTTGCAATCTCTCAGTTATAATCCACTGTTATTATAGTGAAATTCTGTTGATGTAGTGGCAAGATATTGGGGAGGAGAATTGTTCTATAATCCTATGATCAAATATTAGAATCTTAATAGGTTTGAGTCCCTGGGTTCTGACCTTCAGAACGTTTAATAGCCTTTCTTTCTTTCTTTCCTTATGTGAGGCAGGAGACAGATGAGACTGGAGGCACCTACTTGCCCATCCCCGAGTCAGATAAAACTCTGGTAAAGTCCATTTCCTGAGAGAGTAGGCCTGTGTTATGGAGAACACTCGGCATATTTCAAAAATGATTACTTTTTCCTTCTCTCTACCTAAGAGGATTTTAATCTTATCTTCACTGTGAGAATCTGCTGAGCTCCTCGTCTTAAAATCTAAAAAAGTGTGGGGAACCCCTAGGATGGGCCGAAGGAGTTTTTATCTGACTCATCCACACTCAGCCTCCAGCAATGTGCCAACATTGCCCTAAAGTTGTTTCTACCTGTCGCAGGACCCCAGTGGCTTCTGATCTCAGTGTAATTCTCTGCACTTGACTGTCTCTCCAGATTTCATTGTGGCAGTTTGCTCTGTGATCTTGTTTCTTAGATGGATCTCAGAAAAGTAGTAGTTGATTTTCAGTTTGATTAGCTTCTTTTGTTTGTTGTGAGGAAAGTAATGAGACCTCTAAACTCTTATGTGCCAGTCAGCTGATACTGGAAGTCCTACTCCATTATCACAATAGAGATGAACGTATTTTCTGTTATTTTTGCATATTTGTCTGATTACTTCTTTAGAAAATATCACTAGGAGTGGAATTTCTAGGTCAAAGATTATGAACATTTTAAGGCTTTTGATTCATATTGCCAAATTGCCCTAAAAATGCATAATTTGTTTCTGCTAGCAATACAGAATTATTTTCAGAATTTTATAGATTTGAGAAAATTTTAAAAATCCACTTACCTGCCGAAACGGGTTTGGCTCAGTGGATAGAGCATCGGCCTGTGGACTGAGGGGTCCTGGGTTCAAGGGCATGTACCTTGGTTGCGGGCACACCCCCATTAGGAGGTATGCAGGAGGCGGCTGATCGATGACTCTCTCTCATCGATGTTTCTAACTCTCTATCCCTCTCTGTAAAAAATCAATAAGATATATTTTTTAAAAATCCACTTACCTAATAAACATTTATATGTGTATATTTCATTACTTTTTAAAAGAGGGGAATACTTTCCTTTTTCCTAAATTATATTAACTCCATTTTGCACACAATACTAATAGTCTGAATCTTGACATGCAGTTTTCAGAAGCGAATTGCCGATTGCCGACTGTGGCCTGTAGAGATCACAAGAGTTCCTCTAATTACTGCACCCAAAGGGAAAGCTGCCAAATTTGATAAGGTAAATTTGTTCAGTTAAAAGTTTTATAGTCCTGGCCAGTTTTGCTCAGTGGATAGAGTGGTCAGCCCACAGACTGAAGAGTCTCAGGTTTTATTCTGGCCAAGAGCGGGTACCTCGGTTAAGGCTTGATCCTAGGCTTGGTGGGGGGAAGGTGCATGTAGGAGGCAGCCAATGGATGTGTCTCTCTCACATCAATCTTTCTCTCTGTCTCTCCCTCTCCCTTCCACTCTCAAAAAAAAAAAAAAAAAATCCATGGAAAAATAGCTTCTGGTGAGAATTGAAAAAAATTTTTATATAAGAAATACTGCCACCCTAATTGGTTTGGCTCGGTGAATGGAGCATCGGCCTGCAGACTGAAGGGTCCCAGGTTCGATTCTGGTCAAGGGCACGTACCTTGCTTGTGACCACAACCCCAGGCAGCTGAATTGATGTTTTGCTCTCATCGGCCAGGTGTTTCTAATTTCATATCCCTCTCCTTTCCTCTCTGTAAAAAATCAATAAAATATATTTTTTTAAAAAGAAAAAGAAATGCTGCCTCTAATTCTAATACCAATGGAAAATATGAATGGATGTGGCTACTCCCTTGGGTGACCAACTAATTCTTATTTGTTTAATAGTTCCCTGACTTTAGTGCTGAAAGTCTCATGTACCAGGAAACTCCCCTGTCCATGGCAAGTCAGGATGACTGGTCACCCTAGCTCCCTAACGTCCACTAAATATTTAGCCTTTGTTCCCAGACATCCTATTTCCCTTTAGCCCTTCATTACAGTTTACCATAGGTAAAACCTTACAAAATAGCCATTTTCACAAGTGAAAAGTAGTTACATATTGGCAGTATGGTTCATCCAGATACATATTTCTGAATTTCTTTTAGACTTTGGACTTACTATGTTTTAGCCTGCTAATTATTAGAGTAATATGGTTCATAGATATACTATTGTTCTGAAAAGATACAGGTTTGATGAGCCTAGAACATGATCTCTATTGTTTTACTTGTGCATGTCTGGTCTTTTATGTCTGATCCTCTTGTAGACCGCTTTGTATTCTTCACAGCACGATGCATTGCATATAGCATACACTTAACAAGTACCTAAGTAATTTTTATTGATTTTAAAATGGACTTTTTGGAAGAATAAAAATGCTGCTACTTTTCCCTTTGTAATATATAAAACAAGTTTTCTTAGATTTCTAAAGAACATAATATTATTATATGACCATAGGACTTTAACCTAATTTCTAATTATTTTAATAGGTAAAGTCAAAAAGATTACTTTTAATCTTGTGGTAATTAAATGGGTTTTCTTTCAGGTTTTTTTCTTATAAAAGTTTTTTATGGCAAATCGTATAGCCATTAAAATGGTGTTAAGACCTATTTTTTTTTTTTTTACATGTTCTTCATCTTTTGACATGAGAGTTTAGATAAAATTAGGGATGGCAAATACATGATGGCATTCATCCTCCTTCATCCATGGCAGATAGTACTGATCATTCAAAGGATTTTTTTTCTTCTGATTCCAGATAAAGATACAGAATCTTTCTCAGCGCATTACTCCAATAGATTAGAATGTAGGCATTACCTAAAGCCTATTTGTCAACACTGATCCAGATGATTTGTAAGACACTTTCATTCATATGAATCTATGAACTAGAAGTAAAAGCCATAGCTTCTGATTTCTTTTAAATATTTGTTGTTGTTTACAGTTTTACATGGTGAAATTGATTTTTTTTGTTGAATATACATATTAATTTGAGTGTGTTTATTCAACTACTGCCTTTTACTATTCATTAATACTATTTATATGTATTATCTCAGTGATCATGGTGTTATTAAACCCAGTTTGAAAATAAAGAAATGAAGACCCTGAAGCTCTCTCTATGGAGCATGCCTGCACCTTTCCCCATCTCCTCTTTTCCCCAGCATTCTCTCTCTTTTTTCTGTAGCACATTCCAGGGCCAATCTTCCTTCTTTCATCCCTCAAGATGCATATCTCTCTTTCTCTTTCTCCTAGGCTCCAAGGGCCCTTCTACTATCTCTATAACTTTCTAAATAAACTTGCCCTTATAATTTTTTTTAAAAAAGAAAATAATTGAAGACCCAAAATGTCTATGCTATTGCCCCAAAGTCAACTACTTATACTGCATAGCTAATTTCTAAAGCCAGGTCTTTGCATTGCTGAGTCAGAGCTCCATACCTTGTATACAACATTGTTCTATAGTACTAATAGGTCTCTGGTTTTATTCCTTTAGACAGAAGATGAAAATCCACTTTCATTTCATGGCGTGGCTTATGTTAATATGGTCCCATTGCTGTATCCAGGTGTAAAGAGGATTCGGGGAGCTTTTCATGTTTACCCTTACCTAGACAGCACAGTCTATGAAAAGGTCAGAAAAATTGTAGAGAAGGTATCATCTATACCATTTTATACTTTATCTGTGTTTACATCTACATGCTAAAGATTATACATCTTTGCAATAGATGTTTGGAACCAATTGATATATTGGAATTTTAAATATAGAGCCTTTCTGTCATTCTGCGATTGAATCTTAAAGACTTTAGGCCAAATATTTCAACAGTTCTGTTATATGTGAGTAGTCTAAACACCCCAATGAAAGGACAGAGATTATGAGACTTGGATTTTAAAATATCATTCAATGATATACAGTCTAAAACAAATATGCCTTAGATTTAGACGTGTATCTAAGTTGAAGTAAAAGAATGAAAAAGACATACTATGCAGGTAGAAAATGTAACAGAGCTAAGTGGCAATATTTGTATCAGATAAAATAGACTGCAAGACAAGAAACATTACTAAAGACATAGAGTGTCATGCCAGAATGAGTAAAGGTCAATTAATCAGAAAGATATAAATTATAAATTGTTACATAAAATAAGTATCTGTACTAATAAAAGAGTAATAGGCTAATAAGACTGGGAAAACTTCCTGAGACCTTCCTGATGTCCTTCTGGACAAAACCATGGTAGCAGGGCCAAAGCAGAGGCGGTCAGGTCAGGAGGGGAGGGCAGTTGGGGATGATCGGGCTGGTGGGGGGGCAGTTGAGGGCGAGCAGGCCAGTTGGGGGGTAGTTGGGAGTGAGAAGGCCAGTGGGGCAGTGATTGGGGTAAGCAGGCTGGCAAGGGGGGCAGTTGGGAGCAATCAGGCTAGCAGGCAGAATGGTTGGGGGTGATCAGGCAGTCAGGCAAGTGAGCAGGTTAGGAGCCAGTGGTCCCAGATTTTGAGAGGGATGTCTGACTGCTATTTTGGGATTGGGCCTAAACAGGCAGTTGGACATCCCTCAAGGAGTCCCAGATTGGAGAGGGTACAGGTTGGGCTGAGGGACATGCCTCCTGTGCACAGTTCACTCAGTATATTATATATGATATTTAGATTTATCCATATTGTTTAATTTTAAAATTTCTGTAAGTCTCTTTTCCAAGCATTGTAGTTGAATTTTCCCACGCAAAGTTTTTATTTTGAACTGTAAACTTGCTCTGTTCTTCTAAGCATGATTGATAAATCAGTAGTTAAATAATACAGAAATAAATTCAACCATTTAAAGTTAATTTGATATTATGTGTCAAAGATTAAAAGCTCTCTGGTAACAGATTAAAGAGATACAAAATCAAGCCAGATTGAAAAGTCTTCTCTTAATAATTTAAATAATGGGGTAGGCAGCTAGTTTTCTGTGATGGTTTCACTTGTTCAACAAGAATGGCTGCAGTAGAGTTTTGTTTTTTTTTAATTCCCTATCTCTCTTTGTTTCTACAGTGTTGCAATTATCTAGAAAACTAAGTGATATTAAAGAATAATGTGGTTTCTTTTATTTGCCTATGATTCATTGAAATGTTTGTTTGTTTGTTTGTTTGTTTTTCAGACCAAATGTTCATTTAGCTTGTTCCGGGATACTGGACATAATTTGATTCATAATAACAAAGCAGGAGGAGTTAATTCTCCATTGTCCAAACCAAGTGTTGCTAAGAACCTGAAAGAAGATAAAATAGTAAGAAAAGGATATAAAAGGAAGGCCTAGGTCTGGGGATATAGTAGGTTGTTGAGAAGGTGATGATTTTGCTGATTTTTTTTTACATTGTAGAAGCTTACACTTATTTCTCATTTGGTGAATTGCCGCAATTTGATTTGCATTTTTATGCAACATAATGATTAGTGTTCCTGCCATAGTAAAGACCATATAAGAATTTCATTTTTAAGGTATGTTCATTTCTTTCAGCAAGCATCTAGTTTAAAATCTCAGAGCTCAGATACAGCTGTGGAAATGGAAGCCGCTCCAAACCACAATCCAGAAGGACAGGTAACTATGCATAAAGAGTTGGAAAATTAAGCTTAATTTCATCAGTCCTTTACTGAGTAAGGTAGTATTGTATAGTGGGAAATGCTCAGGAAAATGTTTATTAAGTTACCATCTTTATTTACCATGACTGGTTTATGATGTTGAGTAAATTTCTTTGAGACTTCTTAAGTGAGTAGGTACCAGATTAACTTTGAGGACTGTTCCAGCATTAAAAATTTATGTATTTTATTAAAGCTCTATTTTGAGAACTATTAGGATGCAAAGATGCATCATATTCAGCATTTATTCATCTGCTCTCAGGACACTCAAGAGCGTGTCCGCAGGAGGTTGGCTCAGGGCATTTTGGCCCATCTCACCCAATCCATCCCACCAGGCACCTCTAATTAATTTACTTTCAATGTGCACAAATCCATGCACCAGGCCTCTGGTAAGTAATAAGTAAGGCTCTTGAGCCTCATTTTAGGGACTCACATTAAAGGTTTTTAAACTTATGTGGAAATAAGACCATATGTGTGTTTCAAGGCAAAACTCTTGCAAGGACGTGAAAAAGAGAAACGGAACATAGGGTAGAGCCTTCAGATGTCAGTTTATAGGTTTTTCTGATAGTACAGATGAGTGTTGTTGACAGTGTGAGTTAAGGAAGAGATTATAGAGAAAGTCAGAAGCCCGCAGAGGCACAGTGAACTGGGGAGCTTTGAAGTGATGAAGAAAAGTTAAAGGTAACTCGGGTTTCAAGCCTTTCTTTCTGGAAGGGTGACAAAATCATTAAGAGAAACTTTAAAAGAGAGGTTGATATAGGGGGAATGATAAGTTCGATTTTGGACATGTTGCATTTAAGATGCTAGCAAAAATCTGGGTAGAAATGTCCATCAGGTCGCAGTTGGCAGATGGTGGTGAGCAGGCGGCGAGTGGGAATGTCGGGAGGTTATGAGGAGAATATCTCTGCAGAACTCATGGAAGAGTTTTGATGGAAGAAAGAGTGGCATTCCCCTAAAATAGTTCCAAGAAAGGTATTGAACAAGATGAACAGGGCTTCAGCTGGGATAGAAGTTTCCAAGAATAAAATTGAAAATGGTTTCCTGTAAGAGATAACCACCGTTGCTATTTTTCTGACCAGTTATTTTTCTGTGTAAAACATATTTTAAGTTAAGATTACACTATATTTATAGCTATAGATGCACCTTTCTCACTTATTATATTGTGAATATTACCTTATGTTACTAATTTGTTTTCATAAATATTTGTTTTACTAAAAATAAATTGGAAAATAAATATCTTTACAGCAATATGTAGAAGCAGGGACATACATTGTGTTGGAGATTCAGCTGAACAAAGCCTTGGTTCCAAAGCGCTTGCCAGAGGAGCTGGCCAAACGGTGTGTAGCAATGTTTTCATACTTGTTTTGCAAAAGCAATCTATACTAATAAAAGGATAATATGCTAATTAGACCAGGTGACCAGACATCTTCTGGACGTCCAACTTCCTTCTGGACAGTTAGGGGGCAACCAGTCCATCAGGGGGGCAGTTAGGGGGTGGCCAGGCCAGCACGGGGGCTGTTGGGAGTCAACCAGGCTGGCTGGCAGGGGGGCAGTTAAGGGGTAATCAGGCCGGCAGGCAGGCAAGTGGTTAGGAGCCAGTGGTCCCAGATTGTGAGAGGGATGTCCGACGGCTGTGGGATTGGGCCTAAACTGACAGTCGGACATCCCCAAGGGTTCCCAGATTGGAGAGGATTCCCCCTCCCTATGCACAAATTTTATGCACCAGGCCTCTAGTTTAGGTATAAGTAAAAGGAAGTCAGCTTGTGACCATAAATGTAATTTTCCCTAGGCCAAACATCAATTTTCTGCTTTTTCTCCCAAAATAAAGTTTCTTATATTTTCTTACTATAAAAGTAGTATATGCCTATTTAAAAAAATTTGATAAATTGAGATTAGCCACAAAGTATAAAGACACACAGATTTCTCTCACCCAGTGATAACTGCTTTTAATACCTTGGTATTTATCTTTCTAGAGTTACAGTAAAGCCCCTCTACTATATAAACACACATTCCATGTCATATATTAATATACTAGTATGTACTTTTTAAGAACTATTTTTAAATTATACCATAGTCCTTTGATCATTTTTCTAGGAAATTGTCCATTTTATCTAGGTTATCCAATTTGTTGATGTACAGTTGTTCATGACATTCTTTTTTCTTTTTCTCATTTCTGATTTTAGTAATTTGAGTCTGTTTTCCTTTTCCTTAGTCCATCTACCCAAGAATTATCATTTTGTTGATCTTTTCAAAGAAGCAGTCATTTTTTGTTTTACTGATTTTCCCTATTGTGTTTCTTTTCTCTGTTTTTTGTTTGTTTGTTTGTTTGTTGTTTTTTTTAAATCTCTACTCTATTTTGTTACTTCTTTCCTTCTTTGAGCTTTGGGTTCAGTTTGCTCTCCTTTTCTAATTCCTTAAAATATACAATTAAATTATTGATTATTGTATGAGTTAGAGCTGTAAATTTCATTCTGAACACTTCTTTCACTGCATTCCATAAGTTTTGATATGCATAAGTTTTGTTTTCATTCATCTCTTTGCTTTTTTCCCCCTATTTAGTCCATAGCTATATAATGTTCTGGGGTTCGTGTCTTGGATTTTACATGACAGAATAGCACAGTGCTCAAGTATGATAGAGAAACAGATCTTAGATCTCCCCTTTGAGACTTTTTGGTGGTAGGAAAATAAAAGAACATAAATACGTAAGTAATAAAGTTGTTATTTCCTGATACAGGGTCAAGGAAATGATTCCTCCAAGGCCACCTCTTACCCGCAGGACGGGAGGAGCTCAGAAGGCAAGTGTCAAAGTCAAGGTGAAACTATAAGTAATAAGGTGTTAAGTGCATCATTTGGAAAGAAGGCATGGATTTTTCAGAAGGGGTGAGAAATTGTAGCTTCTAATTTAAATCTTCCTGTATCTGTTTGTGACCAGTGGCTTATAAGGAATAGTATTCAGTGTTTGATCTTTGGCTGGTGGCCTATGAGCTGAGGAGAAAAGAGCAATTTATACCTAAAGTATATTGAATATAAAATACAATCCAGTTTCAGAACTCTGTTCTATCTCTTTACCTCTTTGAGGTCTCTTTATCAAGCATTATGTATTTTCCTAGGCGGTAAGTGACTACCACATGCAGATCAGGACCATTTCTAGAGCCATTCTGGATGAGTATCACAGCATGTTCGGAAAACAGGTGGCCAAAGTGGAGGGTGATATAGATAGTGAAACCCTGGAGGAGCAGAAATGCCAGCTCAACTATGAACTTAATTGTTCTGGAAAATACTTTGCTTTCAAAGAACAACTCAAGGTAAATATTCATTTATTTAATTATTCTATGGGTTTTATGAAGCATCTACTCTACATACCTCATTGTCATTTTTTCTGTGGTTATGTTCAGCTGTGCTCCCATCTGTCCTGCTACTGGTGCGGAGAGCTGTGTTCTCCAAGATAGAATGTTGGGAGAAGCTCCACTCCTGCGGAGCCATAAAACAGTTCAGTATGCTTTCCGAATGTGAGCTTTTAAGAAACTGATTCTTCTCTCGAGGCTAGGCCAGATTTTTAGTCAGATTTCATGTTGCTTCAGCAGGCAGAAACTCTATACCTTGGACTAATTCCATGACTGATTATCTCTGTCTCCTATTACAAACCTTTCCCTAGTCCATAGAATTACTAAGATTTGAGAAATATTTGTTTAATAATAATTTCCTAAATAATAATGGCTAATGTTTATTGAGCGTTTGCTGTATACCAAATTTTAAAATGCTTATAAATTTAATCTTCACAACAACCCTATGAGGTGCTCCCCATTTTACAGATGGAGAAATGCAATATTAGTTGGTTAAGTAATTTGCCCAAGATCACAAAGGTCAAAGATGGGACTCAAATTCTGACAGCCTGGTTCGAGAAATCATGTTTTTAACTTCTATACCACACTGCCTCTCTGTGTGCATTTACTATGTGCTCTGCACTGTATGAATAAGTACAAAGAAATCAGATGGAAGTAGTAAAGTAAAAAACAACAGGTGCTCATGGAGGCAAGAGGCTGGTCTCAGTAGGTGGCAGGGTCACATCTCAGTTTGATTCTGGTTCTATTACTAGCTGGATGACCTTAGTCAAGGGACTTTACCTCTCTGAGCCTCGATGTCTTTGCCTATCAATGAGGGAAAATATTGATATTACCAGAGGCCTGCTGCACGAAATTTGTGCACGGGGTGAAGGTGTGTGTCCCTCAGCCCAGCCTGCACCTTTTACAATCTGGGACCCCTTGAGGAATGTCCAACTGCCCTCTCACAATCCAGGACTGCTGGCTCCCAACTGCTTGCCTGCCTGCCTGCCAGCCTGATTGCCCCTCACCACTTCTTCCTGCCAGCCTGATCAACGCCTAACTGCTCTCTTGCTGGCCTGATTGCCCCTAACTTTCCTCCCCTGAAAACTTGGTTGCCCCCAACTGTCCTGCTCTGCCAGCCCAGTAACCCCTGTCTTCCTCTGCAGGCCTAGTTGTCCCCAACTGCCCTCCTTTGCTGGCCCAGTCATCCCTAACCACCCTCTCCTGCAGGCCTGGTTGCCTCTGTCCTCCTCTGTAGGCTTGGTTGCCCCCAACTGCCCTTCTCTGCAGCCCTGGTCACTCTCAACTGCCTTCCCCTGCAGGCTTGGTCACCCCCAACTGCCCTCCCCTGCAGGCTTGGTTGCCCCAACTGCCCTCCCCTGCAGGCCTGGTTGTCCCCAACTGCCCTCCCCTGCTGGCTTGGTCACCCCCAATTATCCTCCCCTGCAGACATGGTCGCCCCTAACTGCCCTCCCCTGCCAGCCCAGTCCCCCCTAACTGCCCTCTCCTTTAGGCCTGATCATTCCCAACTGCCCTTCCTTGCAGCTGGTCCCTCCCAACTGCCCTCCCCTGCTGGCCTGATCATCACCCACAATTGCTCTCCCCTGCCAGCCACCTTGTGGTGGCCATCTTGTGTCCACATGGGGGCAGCCGTCTTTGACCATATGGAATGGCCATCTTGTGTTTGGGAGTGATGGACAATTTGCATATTACCTCTTTATTATATAGGATTACATGGGGTTATTATGAGCATTAAATAACATAATGCATGCTAAATGCTTTATGTTATAAAAACTTTATGGGCCTGACTGTCATGGCTCAGTGGTTGAGTGTCAACCTATGAACCAGGAGGTCACGGTTCGATTTCCAGTCAGGGCATGTGTCCAAGTAGTGGGCTCAATTCCCTTTGTGGGGCATGTAGGAGGCAACAGAATGAGATTCTCTCTCATCATTGATGTTTCTCTCTCTCTCTCTCTCTCCCTCTCTCTCTCTCTTTCTCTCTCTCTCTCTCCCTCTCTCTCTCTCTCCTTTCCTCTACCCCCTTCTGCTTTGAAATCAATAAAAACTATTTTTTTAAAATATATTTTTATTAATTTCAGAGAGGAAGGAAGAGGGATTGAGCCTCTTGCTTCCTGCATACTCCCCACTGGGGATTGAGCCCAAAACCTGAGCATGTGCCCTTGACTGGAATCGAACCTGGGACCCTTTAGTCCACAGATCGACGCTCTATTCACTGAGCCAAACAGGCTAGGGCAATAAAAACTATATATATATATTTTAAACCTTTATGGCCGAAACCGGTTTGGCTCAGTGGATAGAGCGTCGGCCTGCGGACTGAGGAGTCCCGGGTTCGATTCTGGTCAGGGGCATGTGCCTTGGCTGCGGGCACATCCCCAGTAGTGGGTGTGCAAGAGGCAGCTGATCGATGATTCTCGCTCATCGATATTTCTAACTCTCTATCCCTCTCTCTTCCTCTCTGTAAAAAATCAATAAAATATATAAAAATTAAAAAAAGAAAACCTTTAAAAAAAAAACCACACCTTTATGGTGTAAAACTTGGCAATGATGTTAGCTTGGGGAGCGGGAGTAGGGGCAGAGAAGCAGCTGTCCTGGCTATAGCAATATGTTATTTGTAATGCATCTCAAACATTTCCACCCATTATTTCTTTCTGGCTTCTCAATCATCTTCTGAAATAAGATAGTAATAGCAAAAGTACATATCTACTTAACAAATGAGGAAACTGAGATACCAAGTATAAAATAACTTATTAGATCGTACAGTGGCAGAATTAGAACCAGAATTCCATTCTCCAGATTTGCAAATCAGGCCTTTTCTCCTGAACTGTCACCCCCAACTGCCCTCCCCTGCAGGCCTGGTTGCCCCCAACTGCCCTCTCCTGTTGGCCCGGTCACCCCTAATTACCCTCTCCTGCAGGCCTGGTTGCCTCTAACTCCTCCCCTGCAGGCCTGGTCACCCCCAACTGCCCTCCCCTGCAGGCCTGGTCACTCCCAACTGCCTTTTCCTGCAGGCATGGTCACTATAAGAGATATAATGTATAAATGTAATGCTAAGGTTTTCTTCAGCTTTATGATGCCCTTCACACAGTATGAGTCCTGCATTGACCATATTAGGATAATGATGATTCAAGAAAAGAAGACATATAGAATATGTTGATTAGGGAGAAATCTGTGAGCCGACAGTTTAGCAGTCACCAAGGGAGAAATCATTTACTTTCCGAAATTCTGATGAACCTTAGACCAGAAACTCAAGGGAGGCCTATGCTGCCTGTGCTATTAGCCCAGTGATCTGTGTCTCTTGCAGCATGCCGTGGTAAAGATTGTGAGAGAGAAGTACTTGAAAACAATACCTTTTGAAAACCAAGAGGAACTGCAGACATTCATTAGTGAGCTCTATGTGTTCTTGGTGGATCAAATGCATGTGGCCTTAAACCAGGTAGGTAATCAAGAACTAAGAGCTCTTCCTTTTCTTAATAGGGCATCAGAGTTTCCCCTGAATGATTCCTTCCTTCCTTGCTTCTTCTCTTCCTGAATTCTACAGATGTTTAGTGAGGTATCTGCTCTCGGCTAGGGACTGAAACGCAAAGATGAATAAGAAAATGCCTAAATTATTTTGGGGAGAACAATCTGTATGCTCTTTCAGCTTCCTAGAAAATTAATTTCATAACTGTCATAAATGTGATAGAAAAAAAAGAGATAAAATAGACTATTTAAATTATGAAATGAAAATGACCATTCTGTTTATTCTGTGAATGTGTGCAATTCTCACTTTTTTTTTTGTCTTTAAGACTGATAATAAAAATTTAGAAAAGCTACGAGTTTTTAGATATTATACCTAAATGACAATAACACTTCAAATATGCCTTTCCTATTTGAAGGTGCCGGTCTGATTTCCTCTCACTTGTATGTTTATATCTATTATTTGCACAGCTTACATCTTGCCTTCATTTGCCCCCACCCTCGTAGTCTGTCTCTAACCAGCTATGCTTCCTCAAACCTCCTATTCTATTTGCTCTTTTCTTCACTGTTTCTTCTCTGCCACCATCACTTTTCTCTCACTTTCTTTTTTTGTTGTTGTTAATCCTCACCTGAGGATATTTTTTCCATTAATTTTAGACACAGTGAAAGGGAAGTGGGTTGTGGAAAAGAAAGAGAGAGAGAGAAACATCGATATGAGAGAGCCACATCAATTGGTTGCTTCCCACATGTGTACTGATCTGGGGCAGGAAATCTGCCATCCTGGTCTGTGCCCTTTACAGGGAATTGAACCTGGGGCCTTTGAACTGGGATCAATGCTCTAACAACTGAACCATGCCGGTCAGGCCTCTCTCACTTTCTTTAGCCTCCCTGGCAGGCAGAAGTAGTTAGGGGCAATCAGGCAGGCAGGTAGGCGAGTGGTTGGAAGCCAGCAGTCCTGGATTGTGAGAGGGATCCCAGATTGTAGATCAGCAGGCTGGGCTGAGGGACACCTGCGCCCCCTCCCCACCCCCACCCCCACACACACTCCCCTCAGGTTCACAAATTTCATGCACAGGGCCTCTAGTATATATATATAAAAGTTAAAGGATTTCTTGCCTAATAATTTCTATTTCCTTTGTGAAGTAACATCTTTACTGAAAGTTAAGAGGATAAGGGTTGAGTGAAAAACTTGAAGAAAAAGAAAAAATTTAGATATTGCATCACTTTATGGTATATGTTGCTGAACAAGGACAAATTACATAGTTTGCTAATAGTATTAAAGGCCACCAGCCAAGACTGAATGCCAGAAGAGTCTGGGGCAGCTCAAATATCTCTATTTGTATATACTTTTCCTCAGGACCAGATTTCAGCCCCTATCTAAAAATGAGGTCAGGTTGTCCGAGTGCTCTAATTTGGGAGTTTCTAGGACAAGTGCAGGAGAAGGAGAAAGATGCCTGGGACTTGAGTGTGCTGGTGATAGAGTAGTGTGGATGGATGCTTATGAGGTCTAAGCTTATCTACTTGGGAAATGATGGGTATATTGGAAGTGAAGGAAATGAAGTCAGAGAGCAGTTTTAAGGGGACTAAGTGACCAAAGGATAGAAAACTTGTAATGTGGGTTCTGGGAGTGGGATAATAGAGGTAGAATATTTTAGATTTGGGTATGGAAATGTGTTGTTGAAGGTATTTTGAGGTCAAGATCATCAAAATTAAAAATAACAAAGAACAGAGGCATAAATCAATTTTCAGCAGCTCTCTTTGGCCCATCTCAAATTTACTTTACTCTTCACATCCCTAAGCAACTCTACTTGTTAAAGTCACTGATATCATTTTTATTTCTAATTAAAGAACTTTGGGGTGTCTTCCTTGGCCAAAGTTTCTCATTCGGGATATTACTTAATACACCGACTTGCTTTTCAATGTAGGTGTATAGAATATATTATTTTTCTGGGTGCCCTCCTACCTTTCTGGCTGTTTCTATAATGTATCCTTTGTAGAGTCAATCTGTCTATATATCCCACTAAGAAGCTTCCAAAGCTTTAACCTTTGTCTCCTGTTTTCTTGATATTTGAAGACCTTAGTTAGTATATGTCAACCTTTTTCATATCATGGCACCTGAAAAATGATAATAATTTTCCATATACCAGAAAAAATAAAGAAATCTGTTTGAGGTCAGAGGGAACTTGCTTAGGGATACTGACTACCCTGAGGACTGAGGAGAGCAGTAATTTTTACTCATTTTCATGGGCTTAAACTGTTGGTATTTAGATACAAGAGCTTCTCTTTCACCATTGATATTTCTCTCTCGGTTCATTCTTTTCTTTCTTACTGTATTGGCAAGACATAAGAAACCTCAATATCATTTTAGACCTCATGACTGGAGTATCACATTTGGTTTATATTTCTAAAACTTCTCTAAAATTGTTTTATTTTGTCTAATTAACATTTTGATGTTGACAAGACCATGCCAGATGATATCCAAGGTGCTGTCCCAACCATTCATAAGAGTAGCGAACAGCTTCGACTCTTTGCATTTGAAGCAGAAGTCAATGAGGACTTTGATATGGCAGCAGTATATTATGAAGAGGTAAACATCTTCCCAGTGGTTGTTTTTACTGTTATTTGTACAATATGGGCATAGTAAATAGTAGTATTTTATTATCTAAAATCCAACTTGATTAAAACAGAGTCCAAAAATAGGTTCACACACATAAGGTTATTATATTTTTGACAAAAGTGTAAATGAAGTTCAATGGACAAAGTAAAGTTTTTTCAAAAAATGGTGTTAGAATAGTTGGTAATCATATGCAAAAAACAAACAAACATTTGACCTAAACCTCAATCAGCTGAAGCTTGGTTGGTGTGGCTCAAGCACCAGGAGGCCGCTGGTTAAATTCCCAGTCCCCAGGAGGGGGCTTGCAGGAGACAATCCATGTTTCTCTCTTTCTCCCTCTCCTTTCCTCTCTCTGATTTCAGTTAAAACATATTTTTTTAAAATCAACTGAAAATAAATTGTAGATCTGAAAGTAAAATATAAAACTAAGAAAACTTTCAGGAGAAAATCTTTATGACCTAAGATTAGGTAAGGAATTCTTAGACATGACACAAAGCATGATTTTTTAAATTGATAAATGGAACATCATCAAAATTAAAAATTTATGCTCAGTGAGAAACACTGTTAAGAAAAAAGAAAAAGAAAAGGTACAGACTAAAATAAAATATCTACAAAACATATATCTGACAAAGGATTTGTTTTCAGAATATTAAGAACCTCAAAACTCAATAATAGAAAAACAACCAAATAAAAATGGGCAAAGGAATTGAACAGACACTGCTAAGGAGGAATTAAGTATGTTAAATAAGAACATGAAAAGATGTTCAGTGTCATTAGGGAATGCAAATTAAAATCAGGATGAGATCCCACTGCATATTTATTAGAATAACTAAAGTGAAAAGTGCTGACAATACCAGGTACTGGTAAGAATGAAAAGCAACTGAAACCCTCATACTTTGCTAGAGGAAATGCATAATGATACAGCCACTCTGGAAAATAGTTTTGTACTCTGTTGTAAAATTATCATATAACCCATTCCTGGAAATCTTATGTACACAAATGCTTATAGTAGCTCTAGTCATAACTGCCCTAACCAGAAACAACTCAAATGTTCTTCAAAGGGTGAATGGCTAAACAAACTATGATCTATCCATATAATGAAACACTGCACTACTCAGCAATAAAAAAAATGTACAACAGAAACACACAACAACTTGGACAAATTTCAAAGGCATTATCCAACTGAAAAACGTCAGTGCTAGAGGTTACTACACACTGTATGGTTCCATTTATATGACATTCTTGAAAAGACAAAGCTATGATGGATAATAGATTATGGTTGCCAGAGTTTTTGGGTAGGGGAAAAGAAGTCTATAAAAAAAATAGCATGAGGAAGTTTTCTTGAGTGGTGGAATTGTTTTGTATTTTGATTTTGCTAAAGGCAACATGAAGGTATGCATGTGTTAAAATTCATAAAACTGTATATCAAAAGAAAAAATATTAATTTCTTATAAATAAGTTTTTAAAAATCACCTGTATTTAACAAATTCAGCAAACCTTTACTGAACCCTTGCAATGTGTTATGATTTACTCAGCCCTTACAGGTGTTATGAATGACAATTGAGTTCTATAGTTCTGTTAGTACTGCCTACCACATGCCTCATGAGCTGAATAAAAATATGGAAAAATGGTCTGAAATCTTCATTTATATTTACTTAATTGTCGAGGTATAATTCACCTGCTATAACATTCACCCATTTAAAGTATACAATCAGCCAAAACCGGTTTGGCTTAGTGGATAGAACATCAGCCTGAGGACTGAAGAGTCCTGGGTTCGATTCCGGTCAAGGACATGTACCTTGGTTGCGAGCACATCCCCAGTAGGGGACCTGCAAGAGACAGCTGATCAATAACTCTCTCTCATCGATGTTTCTAACTCTCTATCTCTCTGCCTTCCATTCTGTAAAAAAATCAATAAGATACATATTAAAAAATAATAAATAAAAAGTAAAGTATACAATCATATTTTCTATACTGTATTTACAGAGTTGTGCAACCATCACCAAAATCTTTTAAAACATTTTTCCATTATTTTTATCTTTTAAAATTTTTATTTTTAAAATTTTCAATTACAGTTTAGTTTCAGTATTATTTTGCATCGGTTTCAGATGTACAGCATAGAGATTAGATAATCATATACTTTACAAAGTGCTTCCCCTCATATTTCCAGTATGCACCTGGACAATACATAGCAATATTATTGATTATATTCTCAATGTTGTACTTTTGATAGACTTTTAAAAGACATTTTGAGTTCACAGCAATACCATAATCTAATTTTAGAGAATTTGCATCACCCCAAAAGAAATCCTGTGCCCATTAATAGTCACTCCTCATTCTTCTTCACCCTCAGTCTGAGGCAACCACTGTTTACTTTATATACAGATTTATCTACTGTAGACAGTTTATATAAATGGGATCCTGTAATAGGAGATATTCTGTAACTACCTTTCACTAGCATAATTTTGTTTGTTTTGTTAACCCTCACCTGAGGATATTTTTTTCCCATTGCTTTTTTAGAGAGAGTGGTACAGAGGAAGGGAGAGGTTGAGGGAGGGAGGAAAGGAAGGAGGAGGAGAGAGACACACATCAACTGATTGCCTCCTGCTTGTGCCCTGACCCAGGGGCAGGGAACAGTTGTAACCCAGGTATGTGCCCTTGATTGGTAATCCAACCAAGGACCCTTCAGTGTGTGGGCCAATGTTCTAACCACTGAGGACACTGGCCAGGCCATTTAGCTTATTTTTTTGTGGTCATTCTTGTTGTAGCATGTATTAGTATTTTATTCCTTTTTATGGCTGAATAATATCCCATTGTATAGATATAACACATTTTGTTTCTTCCCTCATTATTGATGGCATTTGACTGGTTTTCATTTTTTGGCTATTATGAATAATACTGCTATGGGCATTCATGTATAAATTCATGAATATAAGTTTTTTTATGAATGTATTCAGTTCTCTTGAGTATATACTAAGGATTGGAATTGCTAGGTCATATGGTAGCTCTATGCTTAACTTTTTTTAAAATTATATTTTTATTGATTTCAGAGAGGCAGGGAGAGGGAGAGGGAGATAGGAACATCAATGATGAGAGAAAATCATTGGCCGCTGCCACCTACATTTTCCCCACTGGAGATCAAGCCTGCAACCCAAGCATATACCCTTGGTTGGAATCAAAGCTGGGACCCTCCAGTCCACAGGCCAATGCTCTATCCACTGAGCCAAACCAGCTAGGTCTCTATGCTTAATTTTTGAGGAACTGCCTGTTTTCCAAAAAGCTGTACTGATATTTTACATTTCCACCAGCAATGGCTGTAGGTTTCATTTTCTCTATATTTTACCTAGTGCTTTTTATTGTCCATCATTTTAAAAAATTATAGCCATTCTCATGGGTCGAAGTGGTATCTCATTGTGACTTTTCTAATGATTAGTGACTTTGAACATCTTTTCACATTTATGATTTTTTTCAAGAGGAAATATATTTTTTTTAAATATGCATTTTATTGATTTTGTACAGAGAGGAAGGGAGAGAGATAGAGAGTTAGAAACATTGATGAGAGAGAGTCATCAATCAGCTGCCTCTTGCACACCCCCTACTGGGGATTGCCCGCAACCAAGGTACATGCCCTTGACCGGAATCGAACCCAGGACCCTTCAGTCCCCAAGCTGACGCTCTATCCATTGAGCCAAACCAGTCTCGGCAAGAGGAAATATTTTTTAAATTAATTGATAGGATAACCTGACTGTAACAAGTTTAAAACATCAGTCTATCTGAATCAATTGTTCTGTCTCATTGTGAGTGGCTTATTTTACTCAGTATATGCCCTCAAGGGTTCATCTATATTTAAGCATATGCCAGAATTTCCTTTCTTTTTCGGGCTACATAGTATTCCATCTTTGTATATACTAGACTTTTGCTTATCTATTCATCTGTCATTGGACACTTGTTGTATCTTTTAGCTATTATGAATAATGCTACTATGAACATGGATGTACAAATGGCTCTTTGAAACTCTGCTTTCAATTCTCATGGGTATATACACAGAAGTGGGATTGCTGTATCATATTTTATTTTTAATTTTATGAGGAACTAGCTTGTTGTTTTCCAAAATGGCTGAGCCATTTTACATTCTAGCATTGTATAAGACTTCTCATTTTTCCACCTCCTCGTCAACGGCTGTTATTTTTGTTTTGTTGGAGTGGCTATCCTAATGAATGAGAGCTGATATTTCATTGTGGTTTGATTCCTTGATGATTAGTGATGTGGAGGATCTCTTCCTATGTTTATGGCCATTTGTAGATCTTTGGGAAAATATTTATTCAAAATATTTATTCAAAAATATTTATAGACCATTTTTTTAGTCATGTTGTTTAATATTTTCTTGTTGAGTTTTAGGAATTCTTTATATACAGTATTCTGAATATTAGCCCCTTACCAAATATATGATTTGTAAATATTTTTCTCATTCTCCCCAAATCACTCTGAGTTTCGTTTTTACTCTGTTGGTAGTTTCTTTTGACGTACAAAAGTTTTTTTGTAATTAAGTCCAATTTGCCTATTTTTCTTTCAAGGCCTGTGCCTTTGGTATCATATCCAAGAAGTCATTGGCAAGTCCAATGTCATGAAGCTCTTGGCCTAAGTTTTCTTCTCAAAGATTTGTAGCTTTAGGTCTTATGTTTAGGTCTTGGATCCATTTTGAGTTATATTATTTTGTAGTATTAGGTAACGGTAGGTACAACTTAATTCCTTTGTATGTAGATATCCAGTTTTCTAGCACCATTTGTTGAAGCCTGCCCTTCCCCTATTGAATGGTCTTGGCACCTTTATAAAAAATAGTTTGACCATATATGCAATGGTTTGTTTCTGGCTCTCTGTTCTATTCCATTGGTCTAAATGTGTGTCTTTATACCAGTACCAGACTGGTTACTATAGATTTGTAAGTTTTTTTCCTCATTAAACTTTGTTTTAATGGGTCTCAAAATTCTGTGACAGTTTTTTGGTCAAGTTGTTTCTATTGAAAAGTACTGATTTTAAATACTACCCCTAGCTGGTTTGGCTCAGTAGATAAGAGTGTCAGCCTGTGGACTAAAGGGTCCCAGGTTTGATTCCAGTCAAGGGCATATGCCTGGGTTGCTGGCTCAATCCCCAGTGGGAGGTGTTCAGGAGGCAGTCAATCAATGATTCTCTCTCATCATTGATGTTTCTATCTCTCTTTCCTTCTCCATTTCTCTCTGAAATAAATAAAAATATATTTTAAAAAACTAATAACTTGCCAAGCTGGTGAGACTCAGTGGTTGAGTGTTGATCCATGGCCCAAGAGGTCACTGGTTCAATTCAGTCAAGGTACATGCCCCGGTTTTGGGCTCAGTCTCCAATAAGAGGTATACAGGAGGCAACTGATGCATGTTTTTCACTGATATTTCTATCTATTCCTTCCCTCCTCCTCCTCTTCTTCCTTCTCTCTCTCTCTCTCTATCTCTCAAAAGCAAACAAACAAACAAAAAGCAAACCCTGAATAACTTAAAAACTCACACACACACACACACACACACACACACACACACACCCCAAATGGTCCCTAAAACATTCTCCTTTCCTTCTGAAGGTTTTATGATGTATTGCAATCATTAACCAGTCTCTTACTATTAAACTTAAATAACCAATTGAGACAAACAGTTCTGAGACCATTCTTCCACCACTGATTAAGACTGGTGTGGCATTTTTAGGAATAATATTCATTTAGCTTTCTGAGTCTTCTGGGAAGACAGTGACATTGCCAATCCAATGCTCTGATGAAACCCACAGCAACTGGTTGTCTCATGTCACAAACAGCAAAACAGCCCAGAGGAGAATAGTCAGAGAAGCTCTCACCATACATGTGCTTACCAGGAACCATATTGATGAGGGCAGATTTCAAAAACTTTGGGCCATCTTCCAGCTTTTTCCCAGAATGATGATCAATCTTCTTCTTCAGCTCAGGAAATTTGCAAGCAATATGAGCTGTGTGAAAATCCAGCACAGATGTATATCCAGCACTGATTTGGCCTGGATGGTTCAGAATAATCACCTGAGCAGTGAGGGCAGCTGCTTCCATTGGTGGTCATTTTTGCTATCACCAGCCATATTGCCATGATGAACATATTTGACAAATACGTTCTTGACATTGAAGCCCACATTGTCCCCAGGAAGAGTTTTACTCAAAACTTCGTGGCACATTTCTACAGATTTTACTTTAGTTGTAACGTTGACTAGAGCAAAGAGGATCACCATGCTGGGTTTGAGAACACCAATCTGCATTCAGCCTACAGGAACAGGAACAATATCTCCAATTTTGTAGAAGTCCTTGAGGGGTAGACTCAGGTGCTTGTCAGTTGGACAAGTTAGTGGCAGGATGCAATTCAGGGCTTCCAGCAGCATGGTTCTACTGGCATTGCCATCTTTACAAGTGACTTTCCATCCCTTTAATCAAGCCATCTTAGCACTTGGCTCCAGCATGTTGTCACCATTCCAACCAGAAACTGGCACAAATGCTACTGTGTCAATTTTGTAGCTGATTTTCTCTTAATGTAGGTGCCGACTTCATTAATAATTCTATTGTACATCTTCTGGTGTAGGGTGGCTCAATGGAATCTACTTTATTAACAATAACATTTAGTTGTTTCATATCCAGTGTGTAAGCCAGAAGGACATGCTCATAGGGCGGCCCCATTCTTGGAGGTACTTGCTTCAAATTCACAAATCCAGCAGCAACAAATTAGGACAGCACAGTCAGCCCAAGATGTACCTATAATCATATATATATTTTAAAATATATTTTATTGATTTTTTTACAGAGAGAAAGAGAGAGGGATAGAGAGTTAGAAACATAGATGAGAGAGAATCATCGATCAGCTGCCTCTTGCACACCCCCTACTGGGGATGTGCCCGCAACCAAGGTATATGCCCTTGACCGGAATCGAACCCGGGACCTTTCAGTCTGCAGGCCGACTCTCTATCCATTGAGCCAAACCGGTTTCAGCTGTAATATTTTTGATAAAGTATCTTTGTCATGGATATGAATGGTGGGCACATAATACTTGCTGGTCTTGAATTTGCACAGGAAGGTATCAATGGTGACATCACACTCACGTCTAGCTTTCAATTTGTCCATCTCAGTAGCCTCCTCAAATCTTTCGATGGTTCTTTTGTCAATTCCACCACATTTGTAGATGAGAAGATGGCCAGTAGTGGTAGACTTGTCTAATGATGACAGTGTTGATGTGAGTCATTTCCTTTTCCATTTTAGTTTAGATTTAGTGGTGGTTTTCACAACACCTGTGTTCTGGCAGCAAACCTGTTGTGGGGGGGGAAAAAAAGAAGCTGTAGCTTTGTAAGTTTTAAAATCAGGACGTATGAGTCCTCCAGTTTTGTATTTCTTTTTAAAGATTGTTTTGGCTATTCAGTTTCCTTGACATTCCAAATGAATTTTAGGACAGCTTTTTCTATTTCTGCAAAATAAAATTTAGGATTTTGATAGAGATTGCATATATAGATTTGGGCACTATTGACATCTTATTAGTCTTCCAGTCTATGAATGTGGGATGTATTTTCATTTATTTATGCCTTCTTTAACTTCTTTTAGCAATATTTTGTACTTTTCACTTAAGTTGAGGTGCTTTTTAAAACAAATTTATAGATAAACTTATATTTGCCATCTCAAGACTATGACAAAGATGGTTATATACAAATTTTTAAAGTAAACCATAAAATTGATCTTTAGGCTTCCAAGTAATTGGATGAGCTTATAAGACTAGACACTAACACTAGAAAATAATCAATTTAATAAAACTTTAGATTATTTTAATCAATATTACTGATTTTACTATAAGCCTGAACATTGACTGTATTAGGCATTCAGAATTCAGTGGTAAACAACAACAACAACAAAAAGTCATAGTTTCTGCTTTCATAGAGCTTATAATATTTATGGAGAGCTTCTGGATGATGTTACATGCATTAAAAAATATGACATAGTATCACAATATCTCCTTGGTCCTTCTGATATTTCATGTGGTAGAGGTTGGTTCGTGAGCCCCAGAACCTGGAACATTGGCTGGACTATGGTGCCTTCTGCCTCCTAACTGAGGACACCATCAAAGCACAGGAGTGTTTTCGGAAAGCCCTTTCCCTCAACCAGAGTCATATCCACAGGTACGGGTGAAGTGGGATGGGGAATGAGTAGGAGCAGATAAGCTTCTATATAAAGTTGTCCTGATTCCACGCCTGACACGGGCCCCTGTTGGTAATCATGTTGGTGGTCTCTCCTCAGCTTGTTGCTGTGTGGTGTCCTGGCTGTCCTGATGGAGAACTATGAACAGGCAGAAATTTTCTTTGAAGATGCTACTTGCTTGGAACCAACCAACGTTGTAGCCTGGACTTTACTTGGTATGATATTTTCCCGAATGTATTTTTATTCCATTATAAGATTCCCCCTTTGACTTCCCACTATTTTAAAAAACATATTTTTTTTTACTGATTTTAGAGAGGGAGGGAGAGGGAGAGTTAGAAACATCAATGATAAGAGAGAATCATTGATTGACTCCTCCTGCATGCCCCCTATTGGCAATTGAACCTGCAACCTGGTCATGTGCACTTGACTGGAATCAAACCCCGGGACCCTTCAGGAGGCCAACACTCTATCCACTGAGCCAAACCGGCTAGGACTGTCTGCCCACTCTTTAATCACTCTTCATGTAGTTTAAACTTTAGTAAAAATGTAGGAAACGTAAGTGAAACAAAATATTACAATTCCTAGTAGCTGATGGTGGCAAATTAGTCACATTTATTTTCAGCATCTTTCTTTCTTCAGGTTTATACTATGAAATTCAAAACAATGATATTCGAATGGAAATGGCATTTCACGAGGCCTTCAAACAGCTTCAGACACAAATACTTCAGGCACAAGTAACCAAGAGCACTGCTACCATAGACTTTGAAACCAGAACATCCAGGCATAAGAGCATCACTGATGTTGAAGGAGTGAAAGCAGAATCCAGTATAGGACCTTGGGGAATGGGTAGTGGTTCTTTTACAGGAGCAGCTAAGGCGGAACCCCAAGCAGGTAGGACCAACGAATGGAAATGATTAGTGGCTGTTGGAAAAAATTACTGGCTTTATGAACAGAAGCAGGCACATAGTAGGTACTCAGTGAATATTTGTGAAATGAAAAAAAAAAAAATAGGTGATTTTTTGAGTTGTTCCAGGGATATCAGGGAAAAATCTTCCAAAATATTTTCCCATTCTTGTGATTGAAAGTCTGAAAATTTTACTGTTGTTATTCAGTTTAAAAAAAAAAAATCTTAGATAATTTACTGTCCCTGTGCACCCCTAAAAGGAGTATTGTTCTAGCAGAGTAAATTTCCCCCACATCACTCTTTTCCCCAATATGTAAGGTCCCTCTCTTGTGATTATTAAATTTATTTGTACACTCCCTTTTTTCTTGTTCTTCTTTTTTTTTTTTTTTTTTAATCCTCACCTGAGGATTTTTCCATTGATTTTTAGAGAGAGAGGAAGGGAGAGACAGAGGTAGAGAGGGAGGAAGAAAGAGACAGAGAAAAGAAGAGAGAGAGAACGTTGATGTGAGAGAGACACATCAATCAGTTGCCTTCTGCATATACCTTGACTAGTCCAGAATCAAACCTATAATCCTGGTACATGTCTTTGACTGGGAATCAAACCATGATCCACTCTAAACACTGAGCAAACCCACCAGGACTTTCTTTTCTTTCTTTCTTTCTTTTTTTTAAATTGATTAAGGTATTACATATGTGTCCATATTTCTCCAATGCCCCCCACCCCACTCCCATACATACCCTCACCCCCCCTGCTGTCTCTGCCCATTGGTTATGCTTATATGACTCTTATAATGCAAGTCTATTTTGTCTGATATAAATATTGCTACCTCAGCTTTTTTTGTTTTCACTTTCCTTTGCATGAAATATGTTTTTTCATCCCTTTACTTTCAGTCCATGTGCCTTTAGATTTTAAGTGAGCCTCTTTTAGGCAGTATGAGTCTTGTTTTATTTTATTTTATGGTTTTAACCTTTATTGTTGAAAGTATTACATATGTCCTCTTTTTTTCCCCATAGACCTCCTCCATCCCAGCCCTGCCCCCCACCTCCAGCCACTCACCACCCCCCTGTCTGCGTCCAGAGGTTATGTATATGTGCATACAAGGTATTTAGTTGATTACCTCCCATCCTCCTCCCACATGTACTTGGGCAAGTAATTTTTAACAAAGGAGCCAAAAACATATAATGGAGAAAAGAAAGCCTCTTCAATAAATGGTGCTAGATTGGAAAACTGTGGTACATCTATACAACGGAATACTACACTGCTATAAAAAGAAGGAATTCTTACCATTTGCAGCAGCATGGATGGATCTGGAGAGCATTATGCTAAGTGAAATTATCCAGGCAATGAAAGAAAAATACCACAGGATCTCACTCATTTATGGAAAATAAAGAACATTATAACATGATGAACAAAAAGATACAGAGGCAGTAAAGCATCGAACAGACTGTCAAATTACAGTGGGAAGGCTGGGGAGTGTTGGGAAGGGGGGGAAAGAAATCAACTGAAGGACTGTATGCATGCATATAAGCACAACCAATGGACGCAAGACAGGGTGGGGGAGGGGATAAGGGCATGCAACAGGAGGTAGGGGAGGCTGGGGCAAGGTCAATGGGAGAGAAAAAAAAAGGAGGTATATGTACTACTATATGTAACACTTAAACAATAAAAAGAAATTAGCGGAAGAAACAAGGCCTCCGGCGGCGCTGGGCCTCAGTCCGGACTGCTCCGAACCCCAGTTCTGGGCTAATCCCTGGGGACTCAGGCTCAGGCAGAGGGAGACGGGGCTGTGAGGTGGAGTCCGGGGAGAGTGGCGAAAGGCCGGGCCCCCGGACTTGCGCGCACTGCACGCAGCGGACAGTCTGTTGACTCTGACGCTGGATTCCCCTAGTGGGGAGGAGAAAAAAAGCTCCGGGCTGGGGGAACGCGGCGGGGAGCAGGAGCCCCTGCCGGACGCCGGCCAACCAGGAACCAGCAAGGAGCCGGGCGACGGGGCCCCTGGGGCGGGGGGTGCCCCTGAACCTTCCACCGCTGAGCGCGGGCAATGGAGCCAAGGCCAGGGGGCTGCTTCCTGGGCGGCGCCATCCCCGGCAACAGGATAAAGCAGCACAGGAGCCCGCGGAGAACAAAAGGGTGCCACAGGCCAACCTGCTGAGCTCCCAGGACAAGGAGGAAGAAACCAAAGAAGTTCTCAATGTGAAAAAATCAAGTGAGAGCAAAAGATAATAAAATTACTTAAGAAAGAATACAAAGAAGTTCTTGAAAATCAAAGACTAAGTCAGAACTCAACTCACCAGCCAACATTGCAACATAAATGCGTTTTAAAAAAAGAAAAAAAAAGGACAGAATGTTGGAACAGCGGCGGCCAGGCCTAGAATGGCCAGGCACAAGCAGTGGCAGCCAGGCCCGGAGCAGCAACGGCCAGGCCCCAGAGCAGCAGCAGCCAGAACCAGAGCATCAACAGCCAGCACTGGAGCAGCCAGACCTGGGGCAGTGGCAGCCAGGCCTGAGGCGGAGGCGGCCAAGCCCAGGGTGGCCAGTCCAGGAACAACCAGACCCGGAGTGGCTGGGCCCGGAGAAGCCAGGCCCAGAGCAGCTGGGGTGGGAGCAGCCAGACCCAGAACAGCAGTAGCCAAGCCCAGAGCATCCAGGCTGGGAGTGCCCAGGCTCGGAGTGGCCGGGCCTGGGGCAGCCGGGCCCAAAGCAGCCGGGTCGGGTGCGGCCAGGTCTGGAGCAGCGGCTGCCAGGCTGAGAGCGGCCAGGCCCGGGGGAGCAGCTGAGTCGGATGCGGCCAGGCCTGGAGCAGCGGCTGCCAAGCTGGGAGCGGCCAGGCCCGGAGCAGTAGCAGCCAAGTCCAGAGCAACTAGGTCGGGAGCGGCAGTGACCAGACCCGGAGCAGCTGGTTGTGGAACGAACCAGAGCAACAGAGGCCAGGCCCTGAGCAGCCAGGCCCGGAATAGCTCGCTCCTCGCCTGCCCCTGCCCCACGGCTGCCTCTCAGACATGGCTGGAAACTTTTGCGGGAACTTGAGGGTCTGCTGAATCAAGTGATGAAGGCTTAGATCTGGATGTGTTGAGTTAGTATAGGGCTGGGGTGTTGATCTGTGAGTGCCTTGGGTGGGGCCTGGATGAGACTGGTGGACCTATTGGGAAATGTCTTTTGTGTGAAGTGTATCATTGGGCATGTGGAGGTATTATTGATATGAGAAAATGCTAAGTAACTGATTTACTATCTGAAAAGGGATTTACTATCGGGGAAAGGGAGGGAAGAAGAGACTGATCATAAACTGTGCACCTATGGATGAGGACAATGGGGGATGGGGAGGGGGAGGAGGGTGGGGTGGGAACATGGTGGAGGGGGGAAGAAATGAGGAACCTTTGTAATAATATGAACAATAAAGATTGATTTAAAAATAAATAAATAAATAAAAAGAAATTAATTAGAAGAAATATTTTAATATCGCTACTCGCCCTTTATAATAGAAGTGTCAACTAAATTCATAATCGACAATGACCTATTGAAACACACACATTCCATTGGCTCCAGCGAGAGCTTTATATGTATCGGATATGTGCAAGTCAACTTAGCCTTTTATACAAATAGAATAAGCTTGCTTAATTAGAAAAAAAAATAAATGGTGCTGGGAAAACTGGAAAGCTGTATGCAAAAGACTGAAACTAGACTGCTACTTGTTATCATATACAAAAATAATTAACTCAAATGGACCAAAGATCCAAATATAAGACCTGAAATAATAAATTACATAGAAGAAAACATTGGTACTAAACTTATGGACCTTGGTCTTAGGAAGGATTTTATTAATTTGACCTCAAAAGAGAAGCAAAAGCAAAAATAAATAAATGGGACTATATTAAACTAAAAATCTATACAGCAAAAGAAAACATCAATGAAATAAAAAGGCAACCAACCAAATGGTAGATGATATTTGCAAAGATATTTGCACCTCTGATAAGGCCTTAATATCCAAAATATATAAAGAACTTATACAGAAACCAAGATGGCGGCATAGGTAAACACCTAACTGCAGCCTCACACAACAATTTTTAAAAAAAATACAACTAAAATACAAATGGACATTACCCAGAACTACAGGAAAGTTGACTGACTGGAAATTCTACAACTAGAAGGAAAGAGAAAACCAGAAGGAAAATCAGAGGAGCTGTAAAAGCCTAAGGTACGGAGACGCTGCACGCGGAGAGGACAGAGCTGGAGAGGAGGGAGAGGCTGAGTGCCTGGCTGGCGTTCCCTAGCAGGAAGGAAATAAAAGCCCCGAACTGGGCTGAACCCCAGACCTGACAGCACTGAACCCCAGTTCTAGGCCATACCCTGGGGACCCAGGTGCATACAGAGGAAGCCTGGGCTGTGAGGCGGAATCCCAGGGGAGCGGTGAAAGGCAGAGCCCCCGGAGGCGCACACATTGTGCGCAGAGGATGGACTGTTGACTCTGCTGCTAGATTGCCCTAGCAGGAAGGAGACAAAAGCTCCAGACTGTGCTGAGTCCCAGTTCTGACTGCTCTGAACCCCAGTTCTGGGAGAGACCCTGGGGACCCAGACACATAAGGAGGGAGACTGGGCTGTAAGGCGGAAACTAAGGGTAGCAGCGAAAGGCAATTCCAGAGGCGCGCACATTACGCGCAGAGGATGGACTGTTGATTCTGCTGCTAGATTGCCCTAGCAGGAAAGAGACAAAAGCTCCAGACTGTGCTGAGCCCAGTTCCAACTGCACTGAACCCCAATTGTAGGCCAGACCCTGGGGACCCAGGCTCATACGGAGGGAGCCTGAGCTGTAAGGTGGAAACTCAGGGAAGCGGCGAAAGGAAGTCCTGGAGGCGTGCACATTGCCTGCAGAGAACAGATGGTTGACTGTGCCGCTGGACTGCCCTAGCAGGAAGGAGACAAAAGTTCCAGACTGCTCTGAACCCCACTTCCAACCCCCTTCCAACTGAACTGAACCCCAGTTCCGGGCTCATTGGGGGAGAGCCTAGACTGTT